CGCTTACATACAAGTTGGAGTTCCAGACTGCAGAATATTCACTGTGAACCCCAAGGGTGAATTAATACAAGAAAGGACCAAAGGAAACAAGTCATCGTAAGTGTGTTCCCATTTCTCAGCCTCGCACCCTGCAGCCAGGGTGACACAGATGCTAAGGATCGGGCCACGCTCAGAGTATCAGAATTACCACTGCCTTTGGAGGCTTTCCTCATGGCCTGGGTATTTTCCCCTCTATTTGTGGGATTGCCGGTTCTCTTTGTGCCCAGGGAAGGGAGGGAGACCAGTCTCCGATCCTATCCATCTGAGGAACCTGAGTAACTAGCTTTACAGCCTGTGGTATTGTACTCTCAGATCAGCCTCACAGTAAGAGTCTGTGCTCTTCTTCTCCAACCCCTTCCAGGTATCACAGACTGAGCGAGCTCGTGGAGCATGTGTTCCCCCTGCTCAACAAGGAACAGAATTCTGCCTTTCCGTGCCCAGAGTTCAGCTCCTTCTGCTACTGGCGGGACCCAATCCCCAAAGTGGACCTGGACGACCTGGCCTGAGGCGGCCCCTCTGGGAGGTCCTCAGTCTCTCGTCTTGCAGCTAGGGAAGGTGACCGGCACTTCTGCTGGACAGAGGACACTGGGATCCCTCTCAGCCACAGGTGTGGGGCAAGACCTATGCTGACAGCTGGGCACCAGCAGGGACAAGGAGAGGCTGTGGATCAGGAACTGCCCTCTCCTTCACCCTCCTGGCTTGGCAGTGTCACAGCTCAGTGCCCCAGCAGAATTGAGGGCAGCTTGGACCGGAGGTCAAAGACCGAGGCTCCTGTCCCTGGTCGGTTCTCACGCACACTCTGTCAGGTTGTGTGCTGGGTGCTCCTTTAACTGCATAATTTAAAAAGAAGCTAGCTAAGAGTGGACCAAAATATTGCACAAAGTAAAGTGTTATAATTTCCACTGGGCAGTTGGAAGTGTTTCTCTGTAAAACCAGGGCTTTGTTAAGGGGATCTGGGTCCACCGAACTGCTTCAGGTCCCATTAATGATGTTGGCTCAAACCGCTTGCTCATGTTTGTTCTGTGGGTTCCTCCTTCCCTGCTACCCTGAGAGGAGACGCTGCTGGGGCCGCTCATCCCACCCCACATACTCGGGCTCCTGGCAAGGAAAAGCCACCTTTTCATCTGTGAACCTCGCAAGAAGAAAGTTTTGCAAGATATATGTTATGTCTATAAGAATAGGAATAATAGTGAATGTTGGTTAAGCAGCAAAGAACAGCTCTGTTTTCAGGGAGGCCTTGGAAATGCAGATGTGCACTTACTGTGGCTCCTGGGAAGGGTTTTTCTCTCTGTCCCGCCTGCCCCTCAGCTTCTCAGCCTGGTTACCATGAGCTCAGGTCAGAGTCCAAGCAGACAGCACCGGGGAAGCTGAGAGCTGAGAGCCTGGAGAGGTCAGGTTGGGTGCTGACAATCTACTCAGTACTAAAATCAGCAGAACTGTTGGAGAGGAAGCTTTCAGGGGACTAGAACTGACCACACAGCCCTCTTGGTGAGAAAGCACTGAGCCGAGTTCCAGAGCAGAGTGGGAACTGCAGGTCCAGGCACCACCTCGCTCAGGATGCTTTCCATTTCCACCTGTTCTTGTGTTAGGGGGCTCTCCTTGTTTTTGTTTGCTCCACCCAAAATAATGCTGATGTAAAGATGGAGAATGGGGTGGCTATTTGTCCAGATTGGAGAGTTGGAAGTCCCTGATGTAGCTCAGCCATTTTTCCTGGTGCGTTTGGATGCAGAGACAATGGCGAAGGCCCTTGAGTACGGTTCTTAGTGGCAGCACCTGGAGGCACACGTTCCCAGAGGGGAAACAGCACACTCTTCCTCCAGTGCACACTTCCCCGCCTTCAGCAGGTCAAGGTCTAATTGTTCAATAAGTTCCTTTATGTACAGTAGGTAGGGAAATTAGGTAATGCTTTTATAAAGTTCTTCCCAGTTAGTGAATTAAATTCCTGATAGAGTGGCCATTACTTGATCTGTAGATGCTGTCAGTGTGTCCTCGACTGTGTTTGCTTTAGAAGAACTTTATGTGCTTGACCTGAGCCTCTGCTATGTGCAGTATGAAATATCAATATTTATCTTTTGTAGAGAGTTTTTGACTAGACAGTTTCTTTCTCCGGACACATGGGCCTATCTAGAAGGTTCACCATAGGAACACAGGTCTCCCAGTTCTGTGTTGAGGGTGGCTGATCCCTTTGTCCGAGTGTCTGTAAGCACTATACTGTCATTTCCTTGCTGTAGACTGATCCAGTGGGTACATACACTAATTAACATACGTTTTTCCTTATTTAAAGGAGTCCCTCTTGCTGAAAAGTAGATGATTGCTATTACTATAGTGTGGTAAAAGTATTAAGTTTGTGCTGGAAACCCATTGCCATTTGGTACAAATGACATGTATTCTTTCTGTGAAAGAGAGATGCCCTCAAGTGTGTTTGTACACAGACCCTTACGATGGTGAGTGAGTGAAGAATCATCAACCTTGCGCTGCTTTTGGTGGTGGATGGTATCCCAGGGAGATTGCAGGCAGATCGGGCTCTTTTAAGTCATTCTCTCGGTTGCTTCACTGGCAAAACAGCCATGGCCCCTTCCCTCTTTCCAGCTCAGCCTGACGTTAGCATCTGCGTCGATGTCCGTGTGGTGAAGCTCGTGCGGCTGTGGCATCGGCATTGGCACCTTCGCAGGCGTGAGGAAGTGCGTGTGTGCCCACAGCATGCCTGTGTAGCGTGTGTGCTGTGTTTACTGTGCTTAACACATCTGCATAGTTTTCAACTGGAAAAAGGAAAACTTACTACTGTGATGTCCTAAAGTGAAAGCTGCTAACAGTCACAGGGAGAAAGCTGGAAAATGACTGGGAGTACTTGTGCCCCCAGACTGGGCACGGCCCTTCCCCAGGGTGTGCTCAAGGTGCAGCCAAGGCCTTTACAGACAGGCGAGAAGTCACCTCTTCCTCTTTCCAACTTGGTGAAACAGGCTTTTCCAGGGAATTTTACAACTTTTCGAGATCATCATGCTTACTCTAGGAAACCTTGTTTACCCATTTTAGAGCATGCTGGGTATAATGTAGCTAGTTAAAAATTGAGTTTTTGTTTCAAGTAAGTGCTCTTTCCAGATGAAAACTATGTTTCTGGTTTGAAGGTAAGAAGGGAGGGGGAAACTTTGTCCTTTTAATTTAATAACTACATTCTGATGAAGTATTTGATTTTTAGACAGCAGTGTCACTAATAAGTTTTAAGTTGTCAGAAATTGTAAGCATCAGTCCAGTACTCTTAGTTGTGGCAAAGACCATTGTTTTAAGATAAATGGTTCCTATTTTGGTGCAGTGTTTGATGTTCAAAACAAAATGTTACAATAAACAAACATAAACTGAATGCGTTGGACTCTTTCCTTCAGAGGACATCTAAACCATCTTCTCTGTACTCTTGCCAGAAATTGTTAATTTCCATAAATTAGCATTTTAATCTTTGCTGACTCTTAAATTTGTCTACAGAAAGGACTTCTTTTTGGTGCTTATTTTTATAAAACCTGACTCCCAAAGTGAGGCTACACCCTCAGGAACTAACCTCTTGCTTTGTAGGTTGTGCCAGGGAATGATTCACTCATCCATATGTGATTTCTGGGGTGTGCTCACTGGAATCCTTGAAGCTGTGTTTCCATTCCACCCCTCAGTCCTTCAGGTTCCCCTGGAGTCCCTCTCACAGGACCCCACCTTCCACTAACCCTTCCTCAGGGTGAATACCAATTCGCAATCCTGATGTTTTCATCAGCTTAGGAGAGTCAGTGAACTTGGATTAAAAGCCACATCCCACGTGTTATTTAAATGAGCATCTTTTTATCCCTTCAGATCGCTGGGCCCTGCCAGATGCAGCATGTGCTGGACATGTTGAATCTCAAAAAGGCCTCCTTCCATGTGGAAAGCGCTCATTTCATGCTGCTTTGCCGCGCCAGGATGGTTGGGTGAGAGGTCGGGGAAAGGGAACTGGGGCTGTGGGGTGGGGTTGTTTTTTGTGGAGAGAGAGGAAGAGCTCAGACTGGGGGGGCGGGGGGTGATTATAAAGGGAATGGCTTCCAGCTCTTCAGGGAGGAGCAGCCGGGGCCCTAACCCGCTCTCAAGAGGCCTGCCTCACTGCAGCTTTCTTTTGCTGCATTCTGCACCCCTTAGAGCAAGTCAGACTAGGAAAATCCAGCTGGCACACACGCATGCTTTTGCCCTCTCTCCTTTTCGCATGCCTCTTCCGCCAGCCCCAAGTTTGACATGCTTGCCTTAAGAGTTTGCGCATATCCACATACACTTTCTAAACAGACACGTGTCTGTTTAGAAATGTCTGTTTAGAAAGTGTATGTGGATATATGCAAAGCCATGTTTCAAATATACAAGCTTGGACTTGGTGTGTCTATGATCACAAATACCTCTATCCTTTCAAACTATAAATCAATTGTGGAAAACAGTTGGAGAGATGATAGGGTCACTGAGAATGCTAGATTAATGTGCTAACATAGAAATAATTGCAAGTGCAATTTACATTGATTTGCATTCTTTATTGCTGGGATCATTTTGTTGTTTGCAGTCATTTGGCTACTTGTAATAGTTCACGTGGGGAGAGAGAATGTCTCGGTCCTGTCTCTCTTAGCTTAGGAAGTGCTCTGCCCTTTTCTCAGCAACAACTCCTTTATTTCGCAAGTTGTAACTCTGCGCTGCTTGGTCCTGGGCTTGTTCCTGTGTCTCCTCGCAGGCACAGGGCTGCTGCTTTCTAGGAAGGGGCTGCCCACAGCTCCTGCAGCCTTCAGCTCAGAGACCGTGTGCTCTCTCTTGGTCGTTCCCTCTTGAAAGATTGTCTCCTAAATGGACTGTGACTCGGCTTTCCTCCGACTTCATCCTGAGTGAACACAGGACCTGCTGTAGTTAGACTTAGTGTACTTTGCTCACTGTGGATACACGGAACCAAAAATCTTTTTTTTTTTTCTTCTCTCCAGTAAATGAGTTGGAATGCACTGAGAGAGGAGGACCAAGTATTACTTGGTGCTCTAGAGAACCATCTGTGGTCCCTGTGTTTCTGATTATTATGCACTTACTCCCTTTGGCACCGAGTTAAGGTGTTTACAAGGGGTGTGAGGGCGAGAGGGCACTGGATCTTCCTGAAAATGCTTTATGGCACTGGGGTTTTCCATGAGTCATTTCTAGGAAGCCATTGATACTCTGACAGCCACCGTTAGCCAGTCTACCAGCTGGAGAAATGGGGTGAGGATGCCACTTTTCCCAACCCTCCTGGACAGAGAGACCCAGACTTACTTTAAAATACTAAAACAGCAAACCTTCAGGCTCCTGGCCACTCCTCCTTTGCCCAGGGGTGGGTGAGAAAGAAGGCTCCTCTCAGCGGCCAGGGGCCACCCTGTGATCTCACTGGCAAGCAGTCTTGGAATTTTTACAATTGTTACAGCATCATAGCATCTGGTGGCTCAATTCAGTCCAAGGAAACTTGTCTGTGGTCCTGAGGTGCTAGGGGACGTGCCTCCCCAACAGATCTGACCAACCTGATGAGCAGAGACCGCCTGGAGCAGCGCCTGGCATGCCTCGCGGTTTCTGTGGCTGTTGGGAAGGGAGTAATGTGCTGGGCTTCCCCGGAACAGAGTGTGCTCTGCAGGGGAAGGCGCCTGCTTCTCTCAGATGATCTCAGCTTTATGTTGGGCCTCTTGTTGCCTGGGAACCGAGTTTAAAGCCCCATCTGTGTGGTGTGGGCAGGGAGCGATCTCATTTAACTGGCACAGCTGCTAATTAGATGTGAGTTCTCAGCACGCCCTGGAGCGGCCCCCCTTCAGCCATGGGGCTCCGATGGAGGCCCTGACCTCCCGGCACATCCTGTTTTTATAAGCAAAGAGGAACCGAGTGTACATCATGGATGCCGAGGAGGGAGTTAAATGGTTGAGATTAATTTATTCAAGCTTACTTTCTATAGCTGTTAAAGTCAACGTCTTTCTACGGTTTGCTTTTTTAGCAACAACTCTTAAATCCACAAGGCACCGGATGTAAGTAACTTGAAGTGGTTTTACATCTTTATTGACACTCCCTGTCTTTGCACTCAAATTGTACATGTCATTCAAGGAGCCCAGCGAGCTCACGCCAGTCTCTTGGATTCCTTCACAGCTGGGCAGAGGCCCGGGGGAGCAGGCTGTGAGCCCAGGACTCGTGGTGGCACGTGCCACTTCAGTGTTTAAACTTCTTTCCTGCATGCAGTACAAACAAACAGACGCTCTGGTAAAGACTGTGGCCACAGGTATCCGTTCGGCCAGCCCTCCACCTCAGACCTGCATCCAGCAGCATTTCCTTCTCCATCAGCAGGACCGGCTCACACTGCCTCGCCCAGGGTGGCACCTTGTGGGCCCAGCTCCGGCCCCTTGGGGCAAAGCCAGAGCTGGCTTAGAGGTAAGGGCGTGTCCCAACTCTCAGCCCGTGGGCATGACAAGAGTCAGTCCTCGCTGCCTGCTGGGGAGCTCTAAGGCGTGTCCGTGGCCTCCAAAGCCAGAAAAGGCCGTTATCTTGAGAGAGGTGGTGGGACGTCGACAGAATACTAGACCAGTGGCTCCAGTTACATACATAACGTGAATAATATTAAAGCTTTCCAGTTCTTACAACTTCCTTCGCCTTACCTCTCCCCGGTGCCCTAAAGGTGGGACTGGAAAGGATATAAGAAAAACCCACTAAACGTGGAGTACATTTCGTCAAAGTCCGTGTGAGCCAGCCTGCCCCCAGTCACCACGATGTTGACGCCGTCTCCCGCCTTCAGGTGCACGATGAGGTGGAAGGCCCCCGGGCCGCCACAGGTGTGCAGGGCCCCCTGGGGCCCGTGGTGTTCCAGGAATTCCCTCCGGTAGCCCGCTGTGTGCAGCTGCGCCACGCTGGCGTTGGACACCGACAGGACCGCTTCCACGTACGTGTCCCTCTCGGGAGTGAGCGTGGCCGTGATGAGGTAGCGCCCGTCGAACGGAGCCGTGAAGATCCCTGGGAGGAGGAAGGCGGACATGAGTTCACGGGCCGTCACCCAGCGCTCTGCAACAGGCTTTCCGTCCGTGCACCTCCACCCACCCGCTGACGGGCATCGCTCTTTCCCACCGACCCAGGCCTCTCTGCAAAGCCCACCGTGGAATGCTTGTCACATCCAGAAGAGGACAAATACTGCAGAACCTCCAGCCCTGGGTATGATGACTGCACCTCACCGACACCCAGCGCGGCCCCAGGAGGAGCTGCCCCTTTGTGCCCTGCGCAGTCAGAGGACCATCTGGCCTTGCCGGGGGAGAGCTCAGTCCTAACACTGGCCTCAGTGCGCCGCCCGGGCTTGGGGAAGGCACAGGGCCAAGGCCCAGCCTGGGCCTGCTCCCCCCACCACCTAAGATACAGTGAACAACAGCCACCCAGGTCCGGGCTGCCTCTTGGAAGCTTTCTCCACTGAAAGTGTCCCAAGCCAACTCAGAGTCAGCCTCACCGTTTGAACCCCCCTGTGCTCGTGGGCCGGAGACGGCACCGGCGGACCCGGCAGCTGAAGCGGTTTCAGAGCAGGAGACCCCACCGCAGGGCCACCCTCCGCCCTCCCTGGCTCTGCTCATCATGAACCACCAGCTGCGGGAGGGGACGGGGCGGGGCCGGGCGGACTCCACTGCCTGCCCCAGGGTGTGACGCCCACAGACTGGGAGAGCCTCTAGCTATCTGCACAGTCACGTGAACACTCCCAGGCGAGGGCTGGTATGCTGACATCATGACTGGGACATGTCACTGCACACCCACCGCCCTGCAGCTTGGAGCCCCCCTCACAGCCCGCAGCGGGGAGCAGCTGCACTGCCAGCTGCCCCTCCAGGGCCCGCAGCTGTGGGGCATCCCTGCCAGTACAGGCCCCCCGCCCCCCAGACGTACCTGTGCTGGGGTCGTACACGTCCCCGTCGTTGACCAGCACTTTGTTAAAGAGGACAACGCCCCCGTCACTGGGGAAAGGCTTCTGGGTGAGCCCCGCGGAGAAAGACACCAGGAAGGGCGCCGGAACCCCTGGAACAGAGAGGGCGGGTGTTCACAGGCAGTGGGGGTGGGCCTGGAAGACGAGGCCCGTGTGCCTGTCTCAGGAGGCAGCCTCCCCGCTTTGCTTTGCCTTCAATTGATAGAGCACCCGGGGACACGGCCTCTGAGAGCCCGGCAGGCAGACGTGCCGTGAGGAGGACAGAGCTGGGCTGTGGGACAGGCACTGGCTGGGAATGTTCATGTGTGAGCCCATGTGTGCAGCACTGTGTGTGAGAGAACTGATGCTGTGTTGTGCCTCATTGGGGGGAGGGGGGATGGAGGGAGGGAGTAGATAATGGGAATAGTCTAGGGAGCTGCTTACTCATGGAAGAACTAACACCTGGACCCCAGGGAGCTGGTCAGGGCCACACCAGGCTTAGGTCCACCCAGTGGGCCTCTCGGGGAACTCCACAAGCTGGGTGCACGTATGAGGGAGAATTCCTGTCTGACCTGCCTCTGACCCTCTCTGGGGAGCACAGCTTGCAGGGCTCGGCCCACTGCAGTCAGCCAGGCCCTGCCCACGGCTGGGCCCCGTCTCCACCCACACTCACAGCCCGAAGCGGGGAGAACATGCAGGGCAGAGGCTGCCACAGAGGACTGGCCTCCTGCCCACGTCTCCTGGCAGACGCACCTGGGGAGGCTGCAGGCGGTGACTTGGGGTATCCTGGAAGACAAAATGGGAATGGAGCATCAAACATCCCACACAGCTCCTCATTTTCAGAGCCTTCTCACTGCTCCTCACACTACTTTGGCTTGGAGTGGTGCCCTTGCTCTATGCCTCCTTCCTAGAAACAGACGCACATACCCCTCCTCCCCCCACCTGCCTCCTCACTAGCCCCCTTAGCCCTGGCAGGGAAGAAGGCCCTGAGGGTGAGCTGGCCGAGGGACTAAGGAGGAAGGTGAGGCGCTGGGGCTTCTCAGCCAGGGAGGAGAAGTCCAGACTGAGGCACCCAATGTGCCAGAGACCCTGTCTGTGCACAGCTTCCCGTCCAGCGGGCTGGAAGCAGTGTTTGTCACATGGGTGGGTGGAAAAGGACTGCATGGATGGACAGACAACAGCTCTACAGAGCATAAGCAGTCCCGACAGTGAAACTAACTGCTCAGAAAACATCTGTTTACAAGTCATAGCCCTGCGCCTCAGCGTCCTCATCTGTGAACAGGACTAATAACATCCCAGAGCTGCCTGGGAGCTGCGAGAAACGGACTGCCTGGTTCAGTCTGGCACATGGGGGGATCCCACAACTGTGCGCGCTCTGCCTTCACCAGTTAGCAGGGGACCCGCCCCCAGTGGTGCCGACACACGGAGCACTTACTACGCGCACACGCACTGAACTAGACTTTCTTCCCTGTCCTCCCTCACTCCCTGAGTCCCTTCACCACCCTCGGCAGGAGAAGGAGCTGACCCTCAGGTCAGGGCCAGCCCAGGGCCCGGGCTGACGGTGACAGCTGAGCCATAACTCTCTGGCTCGCCCGCTCTGGGGCGGGCTGTCTCTGCTACATAAGCTCCCGGTGCACATCTGGTTTCCCAGGTTCACTTCCTGCTGGGCAGATCAAGGAGCTTCCCCTGGCCTGGATTCCAGCCCAGGGGACAACTCTAAGTAGTTTATTGCACTATCCCAGGGTGCCCCAGGCTCGGGGGGATTAGCATGAACGGGTCCCTCAGGACCTCAGCACTTTGGAAAAAGCTCCCTTTTAGACCTTATACCCTGAACCCACAAGCCCCTGCAGCAGGCCCCGGAGGCTCAGACCGCCCCTCCACGCAGCCCACCCTCTGCAGCACACCTGTGCTGGCCCCCGTGAGCCTTACCTGGTGCTCCCGCGAAGCCTTCCGTGCTGGGGACGGGCGCCTGCCCCGCCTGGCCATTCAGGCCTCTCCCCGACACGCCCGTCCTCCCCGGAGGCCCAGCCTCTCCCGTCTCCATCATGACCCCCGTGGAGCCCGGCAAGGAGGGCAGGCCCGCCCAGCCGGGCCACGCCGGCCAGGGCAGCGGCTTTTGGGGTCTCTGGGGCGGGACGGGCCGCTGTCCGGGGTGCTCGAGAGGCGGGGGCGCGCTGGGCTCCGGAAGCGGCGGCTCCGTGGGGGCCTCTGCCCGCGGCGGGGGCTTCTCCGAGGCCGGCGGGGCCTCCCCTCGGGGCCGAGGCGGGGGTGCTTCCGAGGGCTCCTCCTCCTCCGCTGCGCATTGGGGAAGTGGAGAGAAACAGAGTTGAAAACCTCAGGCCTGACTGCTCGGCCACAGCCCCTCTGTGCTGGGTGGCTGTCCCTATTGCAGCATCAGCGAAGCCGGCTCTGTCCCAGGGGCAGGAGAGCAGCCTCCACAGCGCGGGCACAGGGGGGCTGTGACCAGGGGGCCCGGGAGCCCCTGAGGCGGCCGCGGGAGGCCCCGCCGGCCCCCTCCACGATGGCGTGCTCTCCCCACAGACCCCCTTTGGCTCCAGCACTGACACGTCCTGGTTTCACCGTGGAATGGCCCCATGGGGGTGCCACAAGTTCCTGAAAGGAGCCAGCTGACCTGACACGCAGACCAGCCAGTCGTGGGGTCACTGTGGACGATTTCGCAAGCTGAGGGCAAGGCGACCCCAAGCAGGTGTCTGGGAGCCGGTCCCCCTCGGCAGCCAGGGCGATCCCCGCAGGGGGTTTCCACCAGAGGAACCTCCTGATGCAGGCGCCCGCCCTCCGGGATGGCACGGTGACGCAGCCAGGAAGCTGCCGCCCTGTCCTCCGCCAATGCCTTCCTGGCACGAGGCTTCCTTTAGAGGCCCCCAGGGCATCTAAAAATAGCCAAGCCTTGCCAAAACCAGTTTGGCTCAGTGGATAGGGCATCGGCCTGCAGACTAAAAGGTCCCGGGTTCGATTCCGGTCAAGGGCATGTACCTTGGTTGCGGGCACATCCCCGCTTGGGGGTGTGCAAGAGGCAGCTGGTCAATGTTTCTCTCTCATCAATGTTTCTAGCTCTCTATCTCTCTGCCTTCCTCTCTGTAAAAAAACAATAAAATATACTTTATTTAAAAAATTTTTTAAAAATAGCCAAGCCTGGCCAGACACCCCACCTCCTCAGCCCACATGGTGCCTCTAATGCCCAGGCTCCAACACTCTAAAACGATGTCCTGGCAAAGCCAGTGACTGCATTTTGAACATTTTAGTTCGATTTTAAAATTCACTGAAGTAACTGTGGCATAGAGAGTGTTGAAAAGTGAGAAGACTCCAGAATAAATACATAAAATCTAGCAAATGATAACGCAACGCTATTACGAATTCAGCGAAAATAACATACTAAGTGATTGCTGAGCTGTTTAGCCCATACTGGCATAAGTACTGCCCTGACGTTTGTGCTGGAACTCTGTTGAGGGAGCAGGGAGAGCCGTGGAGAGCCCAGGCCGTCTGTGGCTAAGTCATATAATCTATACAATGTCTACAGGCTACCTGTGACATCGGTACAGGAAGACGGAGGAAGCCACTCAGTCACTTTAGAAATAGGGAGGCAGCCGGAGGAGCTGCACGTGGGTGCCCAGAGAGAGATGGTGATGGGGAGACTCGGGGGCACCGGCCCAGATTTTCATCATCAGCTTCCTGGCACCATTTTTCCTGTTTTTATAAAATATAATTGTAGAAGACGCCAAGGGCCTATTCAGGGGTGGAGGGCGTCTGGCCCTCAGGCCACAGAAGGCCTGAGACATCACTGGGTCTGGCCCTGCCAAGGCATTAGGAGTGAGTTCATTAAATGTGTGACCAAAGTTAGCAGGCTAATATTTAGCCTGCTAAACATGATAATTGTGCACGGGCCTCCAGTGATTTTATAAACATCCAAAGGGCCCCAGGCAGAACAAGGTTCTCCCCGCTGGGCCCTCTTTCTCCCCATCCCTTCCACCCGTTTCAGTCTCTGTCTTTTGTCTTCTCTCCTCCCCCTCACTGTCCTCCCTCCCAGGGCACACCTCTGCCTGAGCTGCCATCCCACATCACTGCTCTGTGCGCCCCTTTCCTTCCTCCCACCGAGTCCTTCCTTTAAGCCCAGTTTAGGTGCCTCCACCCAAATGTACATATAAAAAATACTTCCCTTAGTCCGACAACCCCAATGAATTACAGTCAGCAAAGTACCTTAAAATGGCAAAATCCAGGCCTTAAAATTGGTCCTTTTCGTTTCTCCCCACCAAGCCCTTTTAACCAACCGTGTCTCTGAAATCCACTGGCATTTTCCTGGTCTCTCATCCAGACACTCAGAGCTCAGAGTCATACTTTCCTCCTCGCTCTTCCCTCCCTCTTTTCTCTCTCCCTCTCCTTCTCTCTCCCTCTCTCCCTCTATCTCCCTCTCTCCCTCTTTCTCTCTCCCTCTCTCTTCTCCTCTCCCTCTCCCATATGTTGCTAAATCCAGCTGACTCTAGTTCTGAAATACTTCGGCTCCTCCTTCCACCTCTTTTGCACAATGCCCTGTAGAAAGCATTCTAGCATCGTTTCCCTGCTCAACACTCTTCATCTGCTTCCCGCTGCTCATCAAGTCCGATCAAACGGTCTCTGCCTGGCGTCACAGGCCCCAGCACCTGCCCCTCTCCACAGGCATCAGCCTCAGTGGTGCCGGCTCTTATCTGAGCTCTTCCTGTGGCTTTCTCTCTCTCTCTCTCTCTCTCTCTCTCTCTCTCTCTCTCTCTCTCTCTCTCTCTCTCTCTCTTTCTCCCTAAATGGCCTCCTCCGGCTCCCTCACCGAGAGAAACACACCCAGCCCTGAAGTTGCAGCTCACATACCACCTCCTCTGTGAAGCCATCCTGGATCTGCCCGGTAGGGCTTGAACAATCCTGTCTCTGAAGCACGAAGCTCGCTGGGCCTCTGGGGGCTCTGTCAGTTCCTTACCCAGCCTCCCTGCCAGGCGATGAACACTGGAGGACACATGTTAATGGCCTGTCATCCCCAGGGCCTGGCATAGGAGATGGTCTGGCGACTGAAGGAGGCTGGAAGGATGGCAGGTGCTAGGGGCCACACCCACATTCCTGCCGGCCTTTAAAGTGGCATCTTAATTTTGCCAACTGCTGCCCCTCTGGGGTCCTGTCAGGGTGATACTGGTGGGCAGAGTCAGCGATCGTTCTCTCTCTCATAGTCATCTCTCCCTCCACACCCAGACCCCTCACACTGAGGGGAAGGAGGGGGGAGAGAATGAACAAATACTCTGCTGGGGCAGATACCCTCCACTATCCTCCCTGGGAGTCCTTCCATAAGCACCGAGCGCTGAATGCTCCACCACCCCTCCCTCTTACCCCCCATCACATCCCAGCAAAGAACGAGAAAGCTGCACAGCTGCACACGGACAGACGGAGCCCACCCCGGCTCCCCAGCCCACACTCCCGCCCGGCATCCCTGGCTCCTGATGCAAACACTTTCTACAAACTTGAAACCAAGACGAGACAGCGCTTTGCTCACTCCAGAAAGATAGCTGGCAGCCAGGCTCGCTGAGCTGGACATGTGTTTCTAATCCTGACAGCGACCATTGGAGCCGAGTGTGTCTGCCGAGTTTTCGGCGTGAGGCTGGTGAGCAGTGGGTCCGGGCATATGTGCTGCTCTGGGTCAGGGACTGGGCCCCAGGCACTGCCCTGATGCCAAAGTGTGGCCTCCGGAGCAGGCCAGGCAGGACCCAACCTCACCATGGAGGGACTGGGTAACAAAAGCCACTCCCTCTCCTTACAAGTTCCCACTACAAGCCAGTTTCAGCTTCACTAAGACAAAGGCCTGCCTTTAACAACCACCAAACCCACGAGGCTGGTGTGCGAGAACACGGCCTGCAGCTGAGGAATGCTGGGCTGGCCCTCCTCCTGCAGCCGCTGGGGGCCCTGGAGGCAGGCTGGCCGCAGTGTGAATCGAAGCTGCAAAAGTTAAGGCTCCTCAGCATGTTCCTGGCTCTTCAGCGGCGTTTTGGCACAGAGCACGCGGCTGTGGGTCAGGCACTGGCCTGGACATCGGCGTCGGTGTCCGTGTTCCAGGCCTGGCGGGGGGGAAGCCGCTGAAACCTCCTGAGCTACTCCCTCCTCCACTGCACAGGGCTGGCGGGGTGCGCGCCCCTAATCACAAAGCAGGGTGCGCCCGGGAAGGGCAATTCACCGGAGGCCTGGGCCAGGGGACACAGCCTGCAGACCAGATGCTGCAGCTATGGGAGTGCTTTACAGACGCCCATCAAGGCTCCTGGCTTTAAAAACCCACCAAAGGCCGACGACAGGAGGAGCTAACGTGTGGGCGCAGGACGTCCCAGAGCCGATTGCCACACCGGGAAGCAGAAGCTCGGTTTCTGGGAACAGCCCACGCCACCACCGCCAGGAAGTCCCCACGGTGGCTCCCGGCTGACCGCACAGATTGTGGACACACACACACACACACACACACACACAGGGGCCCCGGAGGGAGAGGCGAGAGCAGGCCAGAGGCACCCCCCTCGGGGGGGGCAGGCAGGCGCCTCAGAGGAAAAGCCGCCCTGATCCCACGGCGCAGGGCGGGGGAGCGGTCCTGGCGGGAGGGCTCCCCGCGGAGCACAGGCTGAACGCTGGCACCGGGGCCTCACCGCAGGGCGCGCCGCGTCTTCCTCCCAGGGCGGGGCGCAGTGGCTGGTGTGACCCCACCGGAAGCCCAGGGGGTCGGGCTGAGCAGAGAGCACGGGTCCACGGGTCCGAAAAGCTCACCGCTGACAGCGCAGCTCAGGTGCCGCGTTAAGAGCGGTGGCCGCGCCCTTGACGTGGGAAATACTTCACTCTCTGGATCTCAGGGAAGGGGCCTCGCCTGTCTGAATCCCTCCCGTGGCAGAAACCCACCAGCTGATTCTAACATGTTATGGAAAGGCGGAGCGGACCCACGCCACCTGATCTGCGCGGACTCATTATCCAGCTGCAGCCATCGAGACAAGGAGAGGCAGGTCGATGGCGAACGCGGAATCGGCCGCCCTTCTGTTGGTGGCAGGTGTCCCGTCGGTGGTTTTAGTCGCTCTCCCCCTCTCCCTCCTGCCCACCGCTCCCTTCCGGGCACGGCTGGTCCTGGCAGGCGGCTCCTGCTCCCACTTCCGGGGCCAGAGCGAGGCCAGGGCTGATCACTTTCATTACAAACTCCTGGGTCTCCCTCATCCCCGAGGAACAGGCACCTCCTGAGTGAGGCCTGGATTCCCGGTGTAAGCTCCCAGCGGGCTTTGCATGCATGTGGGGAGCTCCGTCCGCAGAACACGGCTTCTACATGCGGTGGCGATGGAGAAAGGCAGCCGCTATTTGTACCAACTAAAGAGCCGTTGCCCTGGCCGGATGGCTCCGTGGGCTGGGGCGTCATCCTGTACACCAAAAGGTTGCAGGTTCGATCCCCAGTCGGGGCGTGTATGGGAGGCAACCAATTGATGGTTCCCTCACACCGATGTTTCTTCCCCTCTTTCTCCCTTCCTCTCTCTCTCAAATCAATTTTTAAAAGCACACATATCCTTGGGTGAGGATTAAGCAAACAAACAAAAGCAGATGCCTGCAGGGTCCAAGGCTGTGTGTTGTCTGGAGTTCGTGTGGTCTGAGAGTATGGAGTTCGCTTAGCCCTTCTATGTTCATTACAGCCCCAGGCCCACTGCGCTGCTTAGACCTCACCGGGTCCCCCACCATCATCAGGCCACTCTCCCCGGCCCGCCTTCATGGTTGGATCCCTATTTGTTTTTGTTTTGTTTTGTTTTGTTTTTTTAAATATATTTTATTGATTTTTTTACAGAGAGGAAGGAGAGGGATAGAGAGCTAGAAACGTCCATGACAGAGAAACATAGACCAGCTGCCTCTTGCACACGCCCTACTGGGGATGTGCCCGCAACCAAGGTACATGCCCTTGACCGGAATCGAACCTGGGACCTTTCAGTCCGCAGACCGACGCTCTACCACTGAGCCAAACTGGTTTCGGCTGGATCCCTTTTTGAAAAACTCATGCTTTTTCATTCTGACAGCACATCTTAAAGTAAGCAATGCGATACTGATGGGATTCTTAAAGCCGAACCACACCTAAGTGAAACATGACTGATACAGCTGAAGTAGTTGCATGAGACGTGAGCAGACAGAGGAGGGCGGCTGGGAAGGAAGTGAGGCTGTGGTCTAGAGGATGTTGAAACAATCTTGTGGCATCGACTCAGGCCGGTCGGTCCCTTCTTGGAACCGTGACGAGATGTAGGGGAAGAGAGCTTCCCTGATGCACGGAAATACTCGTCCGCCCACATCTCTGCTCAGTGAAGCCCCGGGTTTCCCAACTCCAGGAAGTCCCCTCGTCTCCCTACTGGAAGGGGAACCACCCAACACCGGAATCAGCCGGCTCAGGTCTCCCGCAGACAGGCAGAGGCTGGACGTGCAGGCCGGCCCGGCTGCAGCCAGTTTGGGCTGAGGATGCTTGCAGTGTAGGCCCGGAGGGTTCTGGGCCCAGACAGGAAACAGATTCTGCCTTCCCGCCTCCGCTGACTTCAGTGAGGCTGAGCTGGGCAGCGTGGGGACCAGGTGCCACCGAAGGAGAGGGAGAGGGTGCTGGGGAGTGTGTGCCGGCCGGAACCATGCCCACCTGTGGAAACGGGAGTGAGTGTGTCCAGGCAGAGCCCATGGAACAGAAGAGCAAAGGATGAGAAGCCCCCTGGTCCTTCAGAACCTACCCTATCCCCGAGGGCCACGCTTCTGGTAGAAGTATGGATCACGAATTCTGAATGCTGGCAGGGGCTAGATTACTAGGCGCTTTACACTGTCTGCCTGGCCCACAATTTAACAAAGAAGAAAACAAAAGGGAAAGAAAAGAGGGAGAGACGCCCTTGCCTGTCCAGAGCATTCTGCAGAGAAGCCCGGAGCCTGACACCCAGAGCTCCCCTCCCACCTACTCCTCCGAGGCTGAGGGAAAAGGGAGAAAAGTCTGGCCAGGAACTGACTGCCCATCCATTGAAGGGACGGAGGGTTAAAGTAATGGGTAACATCTACTGAGTGATCACCACGGGCTAATGAATAACCACTAGTTAGGAGCGTTAATCCTCATAACAACTTCCTGAGGTGTGATTCCTGTTTCTAATCAGTAGACGCAGAAAGTTGGGCACTAGGCAGATAAGTAACTTGCCCCAAGTTACAGAGAAAGTTTGGGTTTTCAAACTGCTTCCTGGCTCAAAATCCTCCGATGGCTTCTCATTGTTCTTAAAATCCAAATCCTTTACCACAGCCTCTAAGGTCCTGCATGCTCTGCTTCCCACCCCCTCTGTGGCCTCACTGTCCACAACCTTCCCCCTTGCTCACAGACTTGATCGGACTGGCATTCATTGCTGCCTCCTGACCAATGCAAGCCACATTGCCCTTCAGAAGCTAACGTGCTTTGACCAACAGAATGTGGCAGACATAACACCATACCTGCTCCTGGCCCAGCCTGGAAGAAGCACAGCAGCTCCCCCCTTCCCTTATGGCCAGTTGCCGTGTAGTAAATCTGACCACCGTGAAGCCACCCTACTGGTGACAGAGCCCAAGTTAGCCACGTGGAGAGAGAGAGTGGACATAGACAAGTGACTGAAGCCTTCCTGGACCTTCCAACCCAGACAGGCCAATGGCAGCTGACTTGCAGCCAAGTAGGTGGCTCAAGTCAACACCAAATGGGGCAGAAGAACCGCCAAGCCAAGCCCTGCCCGAGTTCCTAACTTGCAGAATAACGGAGAATAACATGTCTTTGTTGTGGGCTGTTACATGGTAACAAGTGGTTCATTCACACCAACTCCTCGCCAGGTATTCCCTCCAGCCTCCTCCCTTTCTGATCCCTACTCATCCCTCCATTATTAGCTCCAGTAACACTTCCTTCCAGAAGTTTCTCTCATCACTCTACCTCACTCCTCACCCCACCAGCCTCTGAATTCTCCATCTTGGACACTCAGCTCAGGTGCTCTCTCCTCTGAGGAGCCTCCTCCACTTCCTCAGCAGCCGTGGGTGCTCCTCCCCAAGCCCAGGGCACCCATGAACACCGCGTTCCCATAACCAACCCTGTTTGCTTGCTTCCCCTCAGACTGTCACTGTCACATCCGCATACTCCACACACACACACACAGCTCATTACCGACCACACAATACGGGTTCAATAAGATCCTATGAACTAAAAAGTAACCCCCTACACCACCCACTGGACCTGTGCATACGGTCTCATTCAGGTCTCTGCAGACCTGTGTGCCTTCGCCACTATGACTGACAATGCCTTGCAGGTGAAGATCGTGATACTCATCTGTATCCCTCACAGAGCCTTGCACATAGCAGGAGCTCAATACATGTTCTGTCGACATTTTACTAGTCAATGTGTGACTTACTCTGAGCTCCTAAGGTACCCATGGAGTTCCCAATACTCAGGTCACAGATATGCCAGCCCTGGAGGCTACACAAGGCGGAAACGCTCTGCTTGGTTATTTTGGGCTCTTTGAAATTCCCAGAAGTCCATGCATTCCACATTCACAACACTGAGTTCATCGCAAAAGGATAATCTTTTGGAAGCCACACCTCCAACTCCTATTTCAACAGACAAACCTGAAAGAGTCCACACAGCGTCCCACACTGCCTGGGCGGTGCAAATCAACTGGAAATATCTGGTTCAATAGGTTACTATACAGCACTGTCCAGACACACTGTCACCACAAGGGACAGTCATTCTGTGAGCACCCGCAGTCTTGTGACCGTTACACAACATTCCAGAGATACAGGAGCTTCGTGGGCCGGGGAGGAGGGGGCGGGTTATAAATAGTGTGGTGTGGGGCCCAACACTGGGTCAGAGGCCAGCTTCCTGCCCCTGGTTGACATGGGTAAGTCCTTATCTACAAACGCCGTATCTCTGACCACCTCGGACCTTCCCCATCCTCCTGAGGACCTGGCCTTGCTCTCCCCGGTCAGGCCAGGGCTCATCTACCTCTCATGCTCCAGCCGCCCCCTGCTCACATTTTATGTCTCAGCTGGGACCTGATCCTAAATCTTATAGGCTCACACCAGGCCGTGAAATTTCTACTCAATGCATAAGGGCCTTTGTCACCTGGAGCTGCGCAAGGCAGAGAAAGTGATAAAGGCCCAAAGATGAGGAGAGAGAAAAAGAAAACGAAGAGGACAGGTCAGGAGGTGGTGCTGGTTGGGAGTCCTTCTGTCCAGCTGGCCCTGAACAAGTCCTCATGGACTCAATAAGTCAACGTTCAACTCTGGGAGACACAAAGGAAACGTGCGCTGGCCCGGAAGACAACAGTTCCTGGATGCAGCCCACACGGGTGCTTGAATGCTACAGTGATGTCCAATTCTTTTAAAAGCTTCTAGATACTTGTTCTGGATGTTGCTATTTATGCCGTTGCTGCCCGGCACCAAATGATTCACAAACCGGCACCCATCTGTGAAGCACACTTTGAGTAGCACTGATGTCATCAGTTCCACAAACTGTGCAAAAATCTAGCACAACGCACGTTGCAAGCACATACAAGAATGGTATCGTAAAGGCCAACTTACCTGGTGACGGCTGAAATTTGATCAGATCTTGCAAGTCGGTGGAAATCTGGAAAACGTGGCTGTAGAACTGCTGCACGGAATTCTTCAGGCCAGAGATGTCTCTGGAGTGGGATCGGAGGGTCCCGTTCATCTGCCTGACACAGCTCCACAGGCCGCTGACGTGCTTGCTGAGCCCTTCCTTGATCCTCTGAAGACTCCCCGAGATGGAGTCCAGTTTGCTGCACGTTTTCTCCATCTGAGACACCCTGTCCTCCACCACCGAGACGTCCCTCTGGACTCCGTGCGTGTTTTCCTTACAAGTGTCCAGCTCGGCGAGCACCTGGCCCTGCAGCCTCTGCCATCGCTCCTCCAGCTGGCCGCAGCAAGGAGCCGCGGGGTCCTGGGGGGTCGGCAGGGGCTCCGCCGTCCTGTCTCGCTCGCCCCCCTTAGGAAACCCGTCCACGCCGGCGTCTTCACCGTCCCTACACTTGATCAGCTCATTCTGGAGATGGTCCATATCCTCTTCTGTGTGGTTGAGTTGAGAATAAAGAAAACTAAAATCCTGTTGAAGTTTCTGGATGCTGCGCTCGGTTTCTTGAAATTTCCTGTGCATCGTGTCATTCAGAGACCTCAAAAGGCTCACACTGTCACCCTCGGCGTGGTCCTCTCCATCTGGCAAAGCGTCTCCTATCCCATGAAGCTCTCCCTGCCGGCAAATGTCCTCCACAGCTTGAACTTTCTTCCTTAAGTGGTTTAACTCCACCATGACCTGGTCACGCCCCGCCCCTGGCCGGCCTGGTGGTAGGGCTGGAGCCGGGGGAGTGGGCTCTGCTTCCGTGTGGTTGGTCCTCTCTGGGAGCAGGCTCCCCAGGCGCTCTTCCAGGGACTGTATTTTCTGGTCCAGCAGTTGCTTCAGGTCATCGACCTCTTCGTTAATGGTCCCCCGGAGGGTTTCCTCGATGTAAAAGCAATGTTCTTCCGCGTTCTTCTCCGTCACGTTGATCCTCGCGTCTAACTCGTCCCATCTTGCATCGAAGTCCACGTCCGGCTCTGGAACCTGGAGCCGGTCAAACTCATTGTCCAGGCGCCCGTTTAGCATTCTGGCGGCTTCCGCAACTCTTTCAATTTTCTGGTCTAACGCCTTGATCTGCTGCCCAAAGTCACCGGCCTTTTCACCATCACAGCAATCTGGCCGGGCCGGAGGATCCTGTATCCGGGCTCGAAGGTCGTTTATTTCTTTTTTCAGGTTGGCTTCCTTCTCCCCGATCAGCTCGATCACGCCCAGGTAGCTGCTCCCATAGTCATCACACGGCTGCTGCACACCGATCAGCTTGTACTCACAGGAGTTCTTCAGGTCGGCCAGCTTCCTGTCCATGCCCTCCATGAGCTCCTCCCTCAGCGCCTCGATCTTACTGTCCACGTAGGCTTGGTAGAGCTCATTGGTCGTCATGGTCACCGTAGGGCCCTGGGCGGCCTCCTGGAGCTGTTTGAGCTGCCCTTCGTAACCCTTCACTTTGCCGTCCAGCTCCTCCAGCTTGTCACTCTTGGTCTTCAGAGCATCCTTGACTTCGGCCAACTCGGATTTGATGTCCTTCATGCCGGATTCCTTTTTGTTGAGGGCGCCAGGAAGCTGGGCCGTTTCAGTGTCTCTACCAACCGTGGCACTGTCGGGCCCTGGCTGGGGGTGCAGCATCTTGCTGGCGTCGTCCTGAATGGTATGCTTGATGTTTTCATTCACTCCAGCGATGGAAGACTGGAGGTCAAGAACCGTCCTGGTGAGCCGGAGCACCTTCTCCTCGAGCACCTGGATTTTCTTATCCTGAAGTCCTGGATCCACTGCCCCACTTGGCTCCGATGCTCCCGTTGGTGACAAAGTCTTCTTGGGCTCTGAGACCTGGCTTGGCTCATTGTCTGTTATAAAGAAAGAGTTAGACATGACTCAACATTTTCTACTTTTACTTGTTTCCACAAAGACAATAACTTACAGAATACACTTAAATCTTCGCTTCCACGTCCACTCTCACCACAGTAGTTAGAGTGGAAAAGACTATGGGCCTTCAGTCAAACAGATGTCCACGTGCATGCTGCCTCTGCAGTTTACTGTCTGCCCTTGAACATGTGAATTAACTTCTGTGAACTACAATCCCCTCATCCATGGAGCAGAGGTCCTATCTTCCCTCCTGGTGTTAACAGAATATGTACATGGCACATGATACTCAAAAGTCTCTTTCACCCTGAAGGGAAATATTCTTTATCTACTTTATCATACAAAAATACCATCCCCCACACGAGTGAACTGCAGCCACGCCCCAATGGTGGACTGCATACTGTTAGACCACAAGAAGCCACTTTATGGAGATCCACCCATTCGCTGTTGGGTGGTATATTGTTCGAGCAGCAAGTCACTCTCCATGTGACTCATAAACGTTCTTTTACTTTTATTAGCAGCCCTTTGCTAGAAGAGTCTCAGACATTGTTTGGTGCTGCTATGCAGTTGGGGAAACTAACAGCAAAAGAGAGATTAAGCAACTGATTCTCCGGCATCTGCTAACCATGGAGCCGTTTGGCCGTATGTAGGAAGGTTCACTAAGTCAAAGAATACACACTTTGAATATGTGATAATCCTACCTTGAGAAATATGACCCCGAGGAAACAGTACAAGAGGAAAAAATATTATAAAGATGATTGTGATGAGTCATAAAGTGAAAATAGACTGATAGGTACAGAGAAAGATAAAATTAAAAGAGTGGACGGGAGAGGCCAGTTCAGGTCGCAGGCGGCAGCTGTGAGCAGAGGGGGGCAGCGAGGGCTGGAGGTTTCCTAAGGAGTGTGTCACCGATGTGCTGGGTGTAACGAGGTGCTGTGTGAGGGGCACTGGGAGTGCCGGGCCCTCCCGGCAGCCAGGCCGTTACCTGTGGGCTTCTTCAGGCTGCTCCGGGGCCGGGCGGGCGTGGGGCGCGGGGCCTTCCCGGGGTCTCGGGGGCCTTCCTGGCAGTCTGGGCCTCGGAAGCCCGGGCAGCACCTCCATTCCAGCTGGGTCACCATCTTGTACCTGGTGACGAACCGGGGCCGGAAGTTCACGCGGTAGCTGCGGGAGGAGAGGGGGGTCTCGTTACGTACGGGCTGTCACCCCGGCTTCCCCCGGGGACTCAGGGGAGAGGCCCCAGGTCACTCCGGGCCCGCGGCTTCCTGCCAGTGTCCTCCGCCCAGCAGCGACCCCCTGGGGTACGGCCCACATCCTATTGGCCTCCTCCCCCCGCTTCTCAGGTCCCACCCACCGCACCCCAGCACCCCTCCCGCTCACGGCCGGGCTCAGCACAGCCTGCCCCACCGTTCCCAGTGGATACGGCCAGTTTCCACACACTGAGCTTTCGTTCCAGAGTCTGCTGCTTCGTGGACAATTTTTCAGGTGTCACTCTGTCTGGCTGACATGATTCAGTGGTTCGGCGTTGACCTATGAACCAGGAGGTCATGGTTCCATTCCCAGTGAGGGCACATGCCCGGGTTATGGGCTCAGTCCCCAGTGGGGGGCATGCAGGAGGCAGCCGATCAATGACTCTCTCATCACTGATGTTTCTATCTCCCACTCCTTCTCCCTCTCCCTTTCTCTCTGAAATCAATGAAAATGTATTTTAAACAAGCATCCTGGCCCCCCTTTTCGCATAGAACCCAGGCCATGAGCCAGCCCCCTCGCCCTGGCACTAACAAGGTGGCAGTCCTCCAGCTACTCAGGTACTTGTGTTCAGATTTTTTTTTTTAATATTTTAAAAATACATTTTGTTGATTTTTTTTTACAGAGAGGAAGGGAGAGGGATAGAGAGTTAGAAACGTCAACGAGAGAGAAACATCCACCAGCTGCCTCCTGCACACCCCCTACTGGGGATGTGCCTGCAACCAAGGTATGTGCCCCTGACCGGAATCGAACCTGGGACCCTTCAGTCCACAGGCTGATGCTCTATCCACGGAGACAAACTGGCTAGGGCTGTGTTCAGATTTTTAAAAATGTCTTGACTCCTACAGCGAATGGGAGAAACAGGAATTAGGATTGGAACCATCCAAAAGCCCCTTTGAAAGTGCACGTCCCCTGATGCACATGCCATCACACAGACCCTGTGACAAGCTGTGAGCCCCCTCCCCCCCAGGCCTGGGCCGAGACCCGACAGCGGCCGGCACCCTGGCCGGCGCACAGCTCAGGCGCGAGCCGGCTCCTCCATCCCCAGCCTCTGCTCCTCTTGAACCTGTCCCTCCTCTTCACGCTGAGCACCAGCTCTCGCACCTGGGCGTGTTTGGGGGCCGATTCCCAGGAAGAAAGAGTCTTTGTGTCCTCTCCCCAGGGCTGCTGTGCGCTGCTCAGGGGTGGGGCTCGGGTCGACCAGCTGCCCGGTGGCTGCGGCCTCTGCCCGCCACGCAGGCCCACCGCGGGCAGCAGCCTGGCGGCGGGCGCTGTTCAATCACGTTCCCACCTGCAGTGGAATCGGGAGGGTCAGACCGGGTCACCCAGAACCTGGAATGGAAGGCTCTCCGCCACCAGCCAGGCCAGGCGGCCCGCAGAACCCCCAGAGGTGCACCTCCCACATCCCTGTCCCCCCGCGGGTTCGGCCGAGGATCACTGAGCAGCTGAGCAGCTGTGCCTCCCTCAGGTGCCGCTGACTGGTCTGTGCAGGGGCGGGTGTGGGGATGGGGAGAAGGTGTGGTGGGAGCCCTTTCCAAGGAAAACGGGAGAGAAAGCCCAGTAAACAGAAGGGCTGCTCAAGGCATGAGGGGTAAAGGGTGGGGTGGGGGAAGCAAGACCTCCTTTCTCGGCTCTTCGTTCTCTCCCATCTCCTCCCACACCTGCCAGCAAGTCCCCACACCCATTCCCTCTTCTCACAGCGAGAAACAGAGGCTCAGAGCGGCTGTGACTTGCCCAAGTTCCAAGGGTCAGGAAGGGCAGGGCTGGATGGAAACACGTGTTCTCCTCCGCCCCCACAGCGTGCACACACACGCACACACGCACACGCACACACACGCACACGCGCACACATACACACACACACACGCACGCACGCACGCACACACACACAGCACACACAGCACACACGTGCACACACACCACACACACACACCACACACACACCACACACACGCACCACACACACACGCACACACACACACGCACACACGCACACACACACACACACATGCACACACGTGCAGCAGCAGCAGCAGCGAGCCCCTCGGCACTTGCCCCCCGGGCACGCCGGCCTCGCCTGCAGAGATGATCTGGAGGACGTGGCCGAGCAGCAGCCCCTGCCCTCAGCAGCGCTCCTCTGAGGTCTAATTGGGTCCAGGTGCACTCGCACCCGGGGCCCCACCACCCACCCACCAAGAGTCCTCTGTGTGGTCCCAGAAATGATATTAAAACAAAATCCCTCCCCATTGTTTTGCACGCTCAGGGACAGCATCATGCCGGAAAAATGTGCAGCCTCAGAAAAACTCCTCGGCGCATCGGAGATGGAATGCCCGTGGGTTTTGCTCGTGTGCCAGGAGATGACGGCCTGGCTAAGGCCTCGGGTGAGGCTGAGCGGAGAGGAGGCTCGGTGTCCTGGGAAGAGGTTCGACCTCGCACCCCGCCCAGGGCCGTCCCCCCGGGTGGGAGAGTCTGGCTGCCCCGCCCGCTACTCCTCCCCGCGAAGGCGGTTCTCCCGGAGCCAGGGAGCCAGCTCACAGTCCTCCTTCCCCTCCGCCCGCTCCGCACCGGCTCCGCCTCCCCCCGGCCGCGGGGTTCCGGGCTCAGCGATGGGGATCAGGCGCGGCGCCCTGACAGCCTCAGGCCCAGCAGGGAAGCTGGGGTGACAGCTGGAACCCATCAGAGCAGCACCGCTCACCTCACCGTGGGAAGCGCACGCCCCCACTTCTCTGTGCGCCAGGACACGGACCCCAAGGCCTTCGGGGCCTCGGACCTCAGGGTGGGGAGCGGGGAGGAGGCAGGGCTGCCAGCTCCACAGGCGCGCTGGGCTTCCCCCACAGAAACGGGGTGCCCGCCTCCACCGCAGCCCCGGGGGCTGCGCAGAGGGTGGGAAGGAGGCATGGGATTTCCACGGCCCCAGAGCGTGGCACACAGCACCGTGGCCAGGGAGCGTTACCGGAAAGCCTGGGCCTTTCCCCCTCACCATTCTCCTTTTCACTGGCGTGGGGCGGGGGCACCCAGGTCTCTGTGCCTTTCAAAACCTCCCCACGCGGTTGTCCAGCGCAGCCAGAGGCAGGAGGCAGCCTCGGACCCAGGCCCGCCTCTGCCCGAGGCAGCCAGGCTGGGTCACCGCAGGGAAGGGACTAGAGCAGCGAAAGCAGCCCAAGTGTTTCCAGGGTTACAGGGCCCCTGGGCTGTAGCACATGAAGATACTCGACGACGGAAACTTTCTCAACCAGCTAACCCACTGCACCAGCTGGGCCTCCACACGGAGGCGGAGGCGGAGGCGGGGCTGAGGGACCCACACCCACAGGAGGCGCCGGGGGAGCTGGGGGCAGACCCAGACTGCGCCTCGGGCCCTCCCATCGCCGGGCCCTGGGGAGGCGCGATCCCAGCGGCCGCAGCATCCTGGGGGACCCTGGGGACTGCGGCCTGAGCCCGCCCAGACCCCTGCCTCAGCCGTGCCCACCCGCCCCGACTCTCCTCTCCCTCTGGGACTCTTCGTTGGGGTGAAACAAGGGTTTACCATCTCTACCAGCCCAGCCCGGGAAATGGTGCTGAGAAGGACGGGGGCAGGAAAAGAACTGAAGGCGCTGAAGCAGAGTTCAGGGACCACACGAGACTGGAAGGGTCCCTGTTGGGACAGAATGTGACACAATGACTGCGCCTTCATGTGACCTCAGCCCCACGGCTCCTTCCTCCCGGCCTGAGGTGGGACCTCCTCCATCCACGCTTCCATTCTCACCGGCACCTGCCTGTTCGGGGCCTGTCTTTCCTGCAGGCCGTGAGCCCACTGGGCAAGCAGACCTGCGGGTGGTGTTCCCCACGAAAATCACAGTGCCTAGCCTGTGGTAGGTGCTCCATAAACAATTACTAATCAACTAATAATTGATCAAACAATAATTAATTAGTGATAGGTCTACTTTTGACAAGGTTTTGTGGAGTCCAATGTCCTAATTAAAAATTTCAGAATGACCCTTTCAGACACGAATACCCGAGTCTTCCCCAAACCAAACCAACTTCGGGGCCTCAGGACACGGTGAACCGGCCGGAATCACACACCAGGTAACCCAGAATGTGCTGGCCAACAGGCAGCCATTAACCCCAGGTGGCTATTTGCATTTAAACCATCTAAAACGGACTAAAATCAAACATTCAGTTCCTCGGTCACGCCGGCCACATTTCGAGTGGCCAGTAGCCCCAAGGGGCTGGCCCATCTCATGATCGCAGAAGTTTCACTGGCCAGGAGGGGCCTAGAGAGTCACGGATTGTCAAAGGCACACCAACGGCACACGTCTATCTGCTCATCTCTGGGTTCCCATCTCACATCCACCCGTTGTCTTTCTCCTCCCACGTCCTAGAATCGCTGGCAGAGGGACATCGAGACAGCTCCTCCCCGGGGCAAGAATCTTTGGCCTGCACTTTGCATTTACCTGAACTTTATTTTAACGCCAGCCACCACACTGCACCCACCGGAAGCCCAGTGCCCCACTGGAGACACTCATTTGACCGGAATTTTTTTTTTTTTTTTTTTTTTTTAGTAAACTCTCTCCTTCCAGTCACTGGCTTGCCCTCAGAAATCTGGAGCCAACCCTTCTGGCTTCCCTCTGCATGTGGCTCTGCACAGCACCGCCCGGATGGGCCCGGGCTGGTGGGAAGGAGGCCAGAGGAAAGAGGTGCCCCCTCCCACGGAACCAGGATGAGATGTCATTTTGCCGAATTTCAGGATGCTCTCAGGGCAGCCTTGTGACTGGCACTCAGCTGCCACTCCAGGGTTTCATAGAGCAGCCACGAATTCCTTTTTCTAAAATTGTGGTAAACTACACAGCACATACATGTGCCACAGCCCGTGCCAGAGGGCAGTTGCATGAAGCACGTTCACATCGCTGTGCAGCTGTCCCTGCCATCCATCTCCCTAACTTTTCATCATCCCAACTAACACTCTGCCAGCCAACCACTACTCCTGCCAGCCCTCCCCTCAGCCCTGGCCACCACCGTTCTACTCTCCGGGTCTATGACTCTGACCTCCCCAAGCACCTTATTCAAGTAGAATCATATAGTTATTTCCCTTTCGGTGACTGGCTTATTCCACTTAGCATAATGTCCTTGTAGGGAAGGAAAAACACACACAACATTTTCTCTTAGGTTTGTTCTGGGGCCTATGAATTAAACTGACAAAGGACAGACCACCAAGAGAAAAGACATACTGATTTTACTGATGTTACTAATTTTACACGCATAGTGGCTTCACAGAAGAGAAGAGAAAAATCCAGAGGAAGTGGTCACACTCAGACTTGCATACATTTTAACATGGGGCGGTAAGTTGTAGAGTTAGACAGAGGAAAGGGCTTCGGGCTTCGAGGGGTGACCCATGGTGGGAGGATGGCTCAGAAATACACGGGGGGACTAATGGAGGTTAAGGCCTGTTCTAGGGAGGTTTAGACAGACGCAGGTCAATGCTGCCGTCTGCAGTTCCAGGCTCACTGCCCTCATTCCGGTACAGGGAGGTGAGGAATTTACACTCTGCTTGTTCCTCAGAGCAGAGGGGGACCGAGAGTCCACCTTTGTGTCTGCCGATTCTCAATGCTTTCAGCTCAGAAACATCAACATGGGATGGCACAGCCTGATCCCCTCCCTCCTCCAGCTTCATCCCTAGTGTACCATGAGTCAAAATCACCTTCCTGTTCTTTCCTAGGGTGATTCACTTTTACCAAGTTTGGTCTCCACGGCCCAAGTTAGAATTGACAAAACAGTGGACTGGTTTTCTAGGAACAAAGTGTGAGTAAGAGGTTTCCCCCTGTTCTCTGTTTGTTTTTCTATCCATCAATAAATAAACACATGAGTTTTTAACTGAAGTAACCGTTTGCCAAAAGTGAGTGCAGCCAGGCAGGGGAGACGGCAGAGTTTGACGTTAGACGTGACCGCAGAACTGCGAGGAAGGAGCGCCGCCCTGCCGGGCAGAAGGGCACTCGCCGTGGGCATCGGCTGTGTCCTGCTGGCTCGCCACAATCCGAGGCGGTGACGCTGGCCCACGCAGACCCCCAACATGCACTTCCCACGGTCTGAAAAGGTCTCCCCGCCAGAGATAAAGTGATGGAGCCAAACACAAAAATCAGAATTTCCACCTTATCTCTTTCCGCGACAGTACACTTTTTTAATCAGGTCTCTGAAATTAACAACATTAAAAAAATGCAAAATATTTTCTTGACTTTCTAGGAAAGTCCTCCTAAGTTTTAAAGGCCAGAAAGCTTGGGCAAATATTGCAATATATTTCTGAAATACAGACTGTATCTAATGAATCTACAAGTCAGGCTGATGGGCCCTGATGGAAATCAAATTACAACAGAGCTTTGTATACTTTAAAAAAAAAACCAAACAGCTCCTACATCAAAGCCATGTGCTCACCACGAAAATGTGCACAGAGGGGACTGTGTCCCAGGACAAAGGAGATGTTTGCTGGAGAAACCACAGTTGTAAGCTGCTGGTTTTTCTGTTTCCTTTTGAATTCATTTCCTTATGGACTGAGATCGTCAAGTCAGATTTCACGACCCGAAATTCTCTTTACTTCTACTGATTGTACCGCAGGATATGTAGAAATTTTCCACCATGTATCACCCGCCTTCACCCTCAGGACAGTCCCGGAGAAAGGCGATTACAGAAAGCCACAGGGGCTCAGCTGCAAGGCTCCGCCCAGCGCAGCTGTACAGAGAGTTAACTTTACTGTCAGCGCAATCAGGGCCTTCGGACAGGCTCGCATTGCTAAGAATGACATCATCTGCAAGTGCAGGGCGCGTCCAGCCCGTGACATACAGCTTATGCATCAGTTCCAATGAGCCCACGGTCTCAGATGTAACTTCCTCGCTTTGGGAGAGACACATTACAAAACTCAAGTCGATGCCGTAAGAGTGGGGAGCAGGGCGGGGCACCCGGCAGGGTCCCAGCTCACCGTGATGGCTTTCTGGGAGGGCGAATGATCCAAGATGAACGAGGCACCCTGTGCTCCCGAAGAATTCTTTCGGGAAGGGCCATCGCTGTTGCAGGCCATTTCCCCCAAATAAATCCTATACGATTCCATTTCTCGAGCTTATATCACGTGCCCTTCTTCCTGGAGTCAGAATCCCAGAAGGCCCTCCTCCTCATCACTCCCCTGTGCTCACACTCCGCGTTCCCACAGTGCGGGCCAGGAGAAGGTCGGAGGGCCTCAGCCTTTCCCATCATGCTCACCACAGTATGATTTCCCGTGGTGTCGGGGTCCAAAGTTTTCCAGTGCCACCCAATAACTTCATTTTGAGTATTTCCTCTTTTTGTCAAGCAGAAAGATTACTTCTCAAATTATCCCGCAAAGTCACAGTAATTTTGAAATCCTTTTTTCCTGTGTGCCTCTGGACTGGGTTTGCAACATCCATCCCTCCCTCTCAAGTATCTCAGCCACTTTCTCTCCTTCCTCAGTTCCATATCCTCCAGCCACTCTCCAACTTGCAGCGACACACCCATTGTTCTTAGTGCTGCTTTTTGGTACTGAAAAGGAATTGGCTATGACATCCCATCGGTATCTATTTCACACCTTTGGGTAAAAACGCTGGGTGCTGGCAGGCTCTTACACAGGCCGCACCTGTAACTGGGAGGAAGTCCCTTAGAAGCTGAGAAAATGCTGAGAAAGTATGAGTTTCTCTGCAGATATAAATAACATTTTCTTCCTTTGGGCCAAGTCATTCTCAGTTTAAAGAGTAATAATCTGGGAAGTGAAAACACAGGACACTTACATTTTTTTTTTGTAATTTATGACCAAATTGGGGGCAGGGGGGACAAAAACACTAAAACATAGGTTCATATTTCTCACATCATCCAAGTTGATCAGAATGACTTCATGTTTTTAAAATCCACGCTCAGCACAGCGATGTGGCAGCTTTTCATCCACCTGCACTCTGCTTGGAGGAGCATTGTTTTTCTTTGAAAGATGCTGCCACAACCCACCCGCCCACTCCAAGGTGTGGGAAAGTGGAAAGTGGGGGCTAGTTAGCAAAATAAAAAGAAGAATTTTGCTGGTTTACCTTTCCATGGGAGTTGGCAATGGAGCAGTAGGTCAAGGAAGAGGAACTTTCCTCTAAGAACACATGGGGTGGCCAATGGATTTTCAAGGCGGATCGCCTGTGGTATCCCTAAAGCCATCTGTGTTGCTCACAATCTTCAGAACAGTCCTCACTGCTCATGCAGACTTGTGGGACTAAAAATTTTTTTTAAGGAACTTGAGGATATGGCATTCCCTACCTTGGCCAACCCCATGTGGTTTTAAGAGAATCACCACATGTGGAGAGCGGCTACCTACAGTGTTTGGATAGGTTCAATCCTGGGACTAATAAGAGGGCATGATCCTCTCATGGCAAAGCCACGTGCAAGCCCCAGCACAATCATAGCCAAAGGCTACAGTTGTAAGCTTGACCTTATGGTCTGAACCTGTGGTCCCACCTGGCTGAGTGATATGGGCTGTGGGAGGTGCAGCAAGGAAACAAAGCTTGAACAGGTGCATGCAATTGAGTAGATTTGAAACCTGCAAGAGTATTGTAAATATCTTGACCATGCCCTTACTTTGTCTTGTGGAATCCTATCTAATAAAAAAGTAATATGCAAATGAACCATCACTCTGTGACAAAGATGGCAGCACACATAGTGGGGAGGTGGGGATAGACACTGGTGGCATCACCCTGGCGATGTGAGCCCAGTGTCCCATGCCCCGGCCATGCGGAGGGAGGGCCTCTGGCCAGATGCCAGGGTGTGGGGCGCTGGCATCGTTGCAGGCTGGGCTGAGGGACCAACTCCCCCCTACCTGCCCCCATGCACAAATTTCGTGCAGTGAGCCTCTAGTCTGGCTATAAAATAAAGACTCTCCATCAGAGAAGCAGCATCCCACCTAGCCCCAGCTTTATTCTCTTGTCTGTCTTTTCTAATCCTTCACTGCCTCTCGTCAGGTTCACCTGTGGCTGTGCTGAGCATGGCACAACCACAGAACCCAGGTATGTAAGGGCTAAGGGCATTGCCCCAGGTTAGAGGGAAGCTTTTGGGCAGGTATTGAAAGAAATTTCTAGATGCAGATGGAGCTGCTCCTGCCCAGGGTACCACATCAGCAAAATGAGCTTTCATGTTCATGTAAATGCTCAACTTGACCAAACACACAGTATCTCCAGCCAACCAAGCCCCAGAAGCCAAGCCAACTCTGGGCTGTATACCTGTTTCTGTTCCTTCATCTTTATTCAACCACAGCCAATCATGCCCTGTTTCAGTGCTGCGTCTTCTAACGTTCTATAAAACTCACTCTTGCTGTGAAAATTAATGAACAGAAACCTCATTTGAAATGGAATCCAGATGCCTGACTGACATGGCTCAGTGGTTGAGTGTTGACTTATGAACCAGGAGGTCATGGATCAATTCCCAGTCAGGCATATGCCCATATTGTGAGCTTGATGCCCAGGCTGTGGGCTTGATCCCCAGTAGGGGGTAGGGGATACAGGAGGCAGCCAATCAATGAGTCTCTCTGATCATTGATGTTTCTATCTTACCCTTACTCTCTGAAATCAATAAAAAATATATTTTTAAAAAATGGAGTCCAGAGCCTAGAAGAAAGGACACTTGCATACATGTCACTCAACACACTATTGATCCCAACAGGAAGAGATGTGCCGTACATCTCAGACAGTGATACTGCTTTTCTGAGTCCTTGCACAGTAACAGCTCAGTCAGTGGGAGACCTGCCATAGCTCAGCCAATGAAAAGTCACTATACTTCCAGCTTTCAATTTCCTCCAATGAACTCTTTGTTTACAAGAGCCCCTCCCAAGAGTGACAAACAAAACTCTTCTTTGTTTCTCTGGACCTGCTGGTGGTGGCCTTTACACCACATGTCCCTATTTGTTGTTCCTGAATTAACCCATTTTGTTGGAGAAATATCTGGCCCTCTATTTGTTTAAGGTCAGGAGTGCCCAAGATCCTTCAGGAAGAGTCTCCATTGCTTGTGAAGCACTGTACTCCTCCTCCCCATTGATGGGCTGTTTTCCCTTGAATAAAGGACGAACTTGTTACTAAATTATATAATTAGAGGAGAGTAAGACAAATATGGAGACACTGTGGCTTTCCTTTGAGCCACCAATATCAACTATGGACCAATCACGCTTTTATGGAGACCATATGGAAAATGACAACTAATTCTATCATCCAGAACAAGAGTTACCATAAAGTCTCAACTCAGTCAAAGGCCAATTAGATCAGAGAAGTCCTGAAAACTTCTCTAATCCTCAGTTTCCTCAAATATAAATTGGGATTTACAAAATTTGTTCCCTTCTACATCCCAGCTAGTGAAAGAATAAAATTAGACAATAGCTGTGAAAGTTGTGAAACTATAAACTTTACATAAACGAAGTTTATAAACAGTGTTTGTGTATATACACACATCATAAGGCAAACATTTGAAGTAAAAAACATGGGTTCCTGTTATAATAATGGACTCAACTGCCTTCACAATAGATGTCAGCTGATCACCAAAGAAGATGAACAGTGAGTTCCTGATTGTCCTGTGGATAAGAGCAACCCTGCCATTATCTCCAAATGATGGTCCTTGAACCAGTAATTTGCTTTCCTTTGCAATGTGTGGTCCTTTTTTTTTTTTTTAAATATATTTTATTGATTTTTTTTACAGAGACGAAAGGAGAAGTAAAGGGAGAGGAATAGAGAGTTAGAAACATCAACGAGAGAGAAACATCGATCAGCTGCCTCCTGCACACCTCCTACTGGGAATGTGCCCGCAACCAAGGTATATGCCCTTGACTGAAATCAAACCTGGGATCCTTCAGTCCACAGCCCAACACTCTATCCACCAAGTCAAACCAGTTAGGGCATTGTGTGGTCCTTTTTATCAACACTCTTGACATATACAGATTGTTCCATGACAGAACGTCAGTTTTCCTCAAAATCCATGCAGTGCTAATCATGCGTTAAGCACAGAGGAGGCCACCCACATCTGGCATGGGCTGCTGCTTCTCATCTTCTCCATGGCCAGGTCTGCTTCTCCAATCACACCCACCTCAGGTCGGCATGGGCTGTGGCCATCTCCCAGCAGGGCCCCTCCTACTGCCCCTCATGTCTACCCTGTTCTCTCATCTCCTTTGCACACATGGCCAGTGAAACGTTTGGAAGTGTACCTCTGATGGTGGCCCAGATCAAAAGCCTGCCATGACTCCCCTTTGCCTAAACCGTAAAGCCCAAACTCCCACCCATAGTTATGAGTTGAACTGTCTCTCCCCTCAAATGGCTATGTTGGAATCCTCCCCCCAGGGCCTCAGAATGTGACCTTCCTTGGAAAGAAGAGTCCTTGCAGAGGAAATGGAGTTACAATGAGATCGTTAGGATGGGCTCTACATCCAGGATGACGTGTCCTTCCATAAATAGGAAACTTGGACGGAGTCGCATACGAAGGGAAGACGTTGTAAAGAGAGCGAGAAGACGGCACCTACACTCCAAGGAAAGAGGCCGGGTCAGACCCTTCCCTCACAGCCACAGAACCAGCTGTGCCCACACCTCGACTTACTCTCCGCCGTGATGTCCCTTCACGTCCCCTCCCCAGGCCCTCTCTCACGCACTCTCTTGGCTTATGCTGGCATGCTCTCACCTCTGACTGCATTCGCTGGAACCATCCTTCAAAGCCCTGCTAAGGTGTCACCCCACAAACAACGTGCCTCCTGGCGGGAAACGATTTCTCCACCTCGGAGCATTCTCCGCTATTTGTGCTTCTCTTCTTGCAATTCTCATGTCTACCTTTTATTTTGTAATGCTTTCCATTTATGTCCTATTTCACCTAAATGACAGGAACTTCTAGAGAGCAAGAGAGAGGTTGGGTCCCTTGCTAGTCCTGTGCCAGACATAGGCCCTGCACAAAAATGTATTTAATGGAAATGAGTAGCCAACAGTCTTCAAAGAACAAGTCCTCTTTAATCCTATTGAGCTTTCTGCCAGTTCATAGTGTCTTGTACTAATTTTGTATTCTTAATCCAACATTTTCAAGGGCTATAAATGTGAAATGTAGGTGGGTTTTTTTCATTTCATTATGGCTTTACCTAGTGTTCTGCATTTGTTATGTATTTATCACTTCATTGGTCTTTAGAAATATCGGAGAAGTAACCTTACTGTCATTATAAATGATTTTCTACATTCTTTTTTCACCAGTCCTCAGTTGAAACACAACTACTCTATAGAAATCGTGGTGTACACATACAAAGGAATATTAGTGAACAGTAAGAAGTGATCAACTATTGATACATAACACACACAAAAATGTACTTTAAAACAATTACGCTTAGTGAAAAAAAAAAAAAAAAGCCAACATAAAAACAGTGCGCACTGTCAGAAATGGCAAACACATCTCCAGTGAGGGAAAGCGCCTCAGCCTGGGGAAGGTGTGTGGAGAGAACCTGGAGGGAGGAGATCATGGAGCACGGGGAGTCTTTGTGGTGATGGAAATGTTCAGTATCTCAATTGTGGTGGTGATTTCATGGACCAAATATTAAATTATCCAACTATAAATATATACACAATATATACAGTATGTCTAAGTTAATCTCAATAAGCCAACTATTTTGCATCGGGGTTATTTTTAAATCTCTTCAGGACTGTGGGAACAAAATGCTAGCTAGTCTTGTCCCAACTACCCAAAATATATCTCTGTTAAGTGGAAACCAATCACAGCATCATTGAGTCTTTTTCAGAGTTTCAAAATGAGAATTAAACTAAAGTGTGGTGGTGTGTGTGTTTTTTAATGTGCTGGATTACTCTTCAGACACACAACTAATTGCTTTGTCTATTGGGAACTGACGCTTATAGTTATTTTTGAACTTTTAAAGGTGTGGATCAATGATTAAAGAAAGACATTGAAAACAGAAATTTTCATAACTACCTTCAAATCGCCATTTTGTGTAAAATAACACAAAGTATCAAAGACATGAATTAGCATTTTGAAAAGCAGACGGTCTACTCATTGGGATTGTTTTGTAGTGACATTTCTGACATGGAGTGTGAGGGGATGCCTGGCTATTTGATTCGTGCAATTAGCCGTTAAAGGTATTTCTGCTTCCCCTCCTGCTCCGTCGGTGAGCAGGGAACCTGTGTTACATCTTTCCAGTTGTTTCTTACAATGATCAACACAATGACTCCCAGATATCTCAAGAGTAGCCAGATGATGCAACACGTTGGGATGGGAAAAGGCACATCATGTATCATGACAACAAACCTGGGCCCAGACCTGGTCCTGTGGTCCTGAAAGGGCTGTGCCAGCCGGAAGCAGCTGACGGCTCTGCAGCGTGGGCCACTGACACACGAATCGGGTCTGAACACTGTCCTGACAACAGGCTAGACTGGAGATTCTGGAACATTCTGCATACTCAGAAGGGCTCCACTCTACCTCCCCGCCCAAGGCCCTCAATTCCACCAGCGTATTGAGAGCATTTTGGCTTGAAGTGGACTGAGCCAGAGAAATGCTTCAATGGTGAAAAGACTGGACTGAGGACTAGAATGTGAAACTCGTCCCTCCCTGACTTCTGTGGCAATCACCGCCTCAGCTTTTGGGCTACACTTTCAAGATCCAAGATCCGAGGGAAAGCCTCAGCAGGGGAACAAGTGGCATTTTCACTTTCAAAAATAGTGTAGGTCCGTAGGCCGTGATCCTTCAACAGCCTCCCCGTTGAGAAGCTGGACGCTTGAAGCCAGAGGGACATTTCTAGTGCCCTGTCCTACAGTTGGTGATGGGGAAGATGAGCAGATTACACCCCTGCACTCGGCAGACAGTGTACAAGCACTAGATACAAGGATGGTGCCCTAACCGGTTTGGCTCAGTGGATAGAGCGTCCACCTGTGGACCCAAGGGTCCTGGGCTACATTCCAGTCACGGGCATGTACCTTGGTTGTGGGCAGGAGGCAGCTGATCAAAGTTTCTCTCTCATCGATGTTTCTAACTCTCTATCCTTCTCCCTTCCTCTCCGTAAAAAAATCAATAAAATATATTTAAAAAAATAAAGATGGGAAAAGTTAGGGAAACACTGAGAAGCCTCAGCGCAGATTGCCTTTCATCGAAATGACCATTTTGAGAGGCCTCCACCTAAACCATCTGTCTTGTAACCAAATTTTGTTTTAACCAAACACACAGTAAAATACAGTCCTGAAAGGCCGACCAGATAAAGAATAACGTCTAGGCGTCTTCCCTAGTCATCTGATATTTTCTTAGGAGGAAAAAAAATAAGGACAGCTGGGCCCTGACACACCCAGGAAAGTTTGCTTCGACAGCGTTTTCCACCCGGGAATTGGGTTAGTTTGAGCCCTGCCCACTTTTTCAACACCCATCACCACTTTAAAACAGGAAGGCAAGGAGAACATTTCCTGGGGAGTCTTTCTGTGATCCGTTATTTTCCTCCACTGTGCACCACCACGACAGAAGCTACTGTGCTCCTGTCCTCACCCTTCCAGGAAATCCATCTCCGCGAGAAGTCACACTTTGACCAAGCGGTCTGTTGCTATTCTATATATATATATAAATAAATTATTGATTTTTCACAGAGAGGAAGGGAGAGGGAGAGAGAGTCAGAAACATCGATGAGAGAAAAACATCGATCAGCAGCCTCCTGCACACCCCCTACTGGGGATCTGCCCGCAACCAAGGTACGTGCCCTTGACGGGAATCGAACCCAGGACCCATCCAGTCCACAGGCCGACGCCCTATCCACTGAGCCAAACCAGTTAGGGCCCATTGCTATTTTTAAGTGCAGAAACTGCTTCATTAAGGACGGTAGCCGTTCATTCTCGGTAGCAAAAATGTCTTGTACCCAATAATAAACCGAAACAGCTGGGTGACAGCCTGGGAGTAATCTGAACCCTGGCACAGTTTGTCAGCTGTGGCTTTTAAAAGCCAGCATGTAGGACACTGACCGCCCTGCAGAGCCTACCACACTCTCACCCTCAGCAACGTCAGTAAGAGCCACCCTCACGATACAAACACAAGGCAGAGGATGTGTCCTGAAGGTAAAGCATGAAAGCAGCGTGTCAATGGCTGGGGGTGGGCAGAGCCCGCCACCCCGGGGGCACCAGGAACATGCAGCTCCCCCCCCCCTCCCACACACACACACACGGGCCTCCCCGGGGTGCCCCTGCCCCCCAGCCAGCCACGCCCATGCGGCTGGACCGCCTGCTATTCCCGGGAGGAGAAACGCTTCCACAGCAATCTCTGCGAGTTTAACTTTAAGAGTCAATGTCAGCCTTAACGGTTTGGCTCAGTGGATAGAGCGTTGGCCTACGGACTCAAGGGTCCCAAGTTCAATTCTGGTCCAGGGCATGTACCTTGGTTACAGGCACACCGAATGGGTTTCATTCTTTAGCCCTCCCATCTTTCCCCGCCGTGTCAGGAAACATTTGCTTCAAAGGCAAAGCCTGAGAGATAAGGCCCCTGAGCGGCACCAGGACCGGCACAGTCATTGTCCTGCTGAGTGCAGCTCACCTGAGCGAAGCAGGCGCTTCTGCACAGTTCTGTCCGCTATGGCGCCTCCCGGAAGGCAGAGGTGAGGGCACCGAGCTGCAGAGCCGGGGAGGGGCTCGGCTGAGGGCTCACAGCGGGTGGAGGGAGAGCTCAGCCGGAAGGTAAGACTTTCACCCCCTCTTTGGAACATGTTGGCCAAGCCAGCCTTGGGGGACACCCCCCCCCTCACTCCCACCCTCCTGCTCACCTCGGAGCTGTAATTCCTTTACCGAGTGCCAGCGTGGGGACCAGATCAGGGGAGGAGGACCAATGCATGGGGGGCCACAGCGGGGCTTGCCAAGAAGCAAAGTTTTCCTTAAGGCCACGGCCTCTACTGGAATCCCATCCGTTTTCCCCAAGATAAGGTGGGAAACGTGGCCCAAAGCATCAAAGCGCTGTTTCCAAGACCTCTGCCTGCCCCATCCACTCCCCTGCCGGAGCTGGCGATGAGACAGGAAACGCGCACGGAAGCTGCCGAAGGCGCCGAAGGCTCCAGTCTTATCTGCCGGGAACCAGGGAGGGGCAGAGGTCACGGAAGCTTGAAAGGAAGGTCTGAGGGGTCTAGGGAAGCTCACAAGACACAACCCCAGAGGGCAGACAAGGATGGGAAAGGCGAGGGAACCACACCAGGGCAGCGCCAGGCTCTGGGTCTGGCTGCCCCGTGCCCGTGCTAGCAGGGGCTCTCCCACGCTCCCTCCGCCTCCTGCATTCACCCCAGCTTCCCCGGTCCCCACGCTGTGCAACAGCCGAAGGAAAAAATCCCCGAAGCCATACACACAAGAGGCTCGTCTGGAATTGTTCCTGGAGATGCAGAAAACGTAGAATTATTGTCTCTAGAAAACATAAGCCCTAGTCTTAAGTGTTCTTAGTTTAGTTTTTTGGTGTGTGTGTGTTTTTTAAGGCTTTTCCTGGCTGGGATTACTCCTTAAAAGGCAACTTTCCTTCCAGCTGAATGACCATCTGCTCCCGCTGGAACCGGAGGATCACACACGTTCTGGAAACTCAGCGTTTAGAAGGCACACCTGCTGCTCATGCGCAAACCCCGAGCCTGTGTTATCACAGCGGCACAGGTCCCTTCGCTGGCCGCATCCGGATCCCTCCCCCGACGGGCGAGATTTTTTTAAAGAGCGAATAGGAAGCATTTCACCAAGATGCCACACTCCCAAGGAGGGGGTGAGGGCAGGGCTGGGGAGAGGCTGATAAGCCCTAGGCAGTTTGTGGTGTCAGAGAACCGGAAGCTGCAGCCGGACCAGCAGCGCCTGGGCCCTGAGCTGGAAGAGGAGCCGGTGCCAGGGAATAAGCCTGCCTCACATCTGGGATCCTCAGGCCCAAGGGCAAGGCTCCAGCAGGCAGCTGCTCCAGACACAGGACGCCCCCTTGTCTCCAGGCTAACATCAGTCGGCTGGACCACCGCTAGCTGAGTGGGAGGTTATGCAACTATCCCAATTACTGCCATGAGGCATGCATGCTGCATGAAAGGAAGCAATGCCCAGTCCAAGGAGAAGAAGATAGTGCTGTTGCTATGGCTGGTACTCCCCAACACCCCCCCACACACACACACACAGGGGCTCTGAGAAGCCTCCAGCTCTTCCCTCCTCCCCTCCCATCGTCACAGCGCTGGGGTCGGCCTGTGTCACACACACACACATCCTCAGGGTGCTCACCCCAGGGTGTGGGTTTAGACAGCAAGGGGCTTCCGGGGTGTGCAGTGGGAAGAGCCTAGGCAAGGGCTTGAAAATAACAGGCCTAGGCCTGAATCCAGGCTCTGCTACTTCCTAACTACTACATGCCCTCCTGCAGAACGGGGTGCCCGCCCATTACAGGGATTGCTGTAGAGACTGAAGGCAACGAAAACAAAGGGGCTCATCCTGTTACAGCGATGCGGGCCTGGGAAGCTGCACTAAGCCTCCCAGACAGTTCTCCGTCCCTGTTGTGGGGGAAACGGCCTTGCAGGACGAGGGCGTCAGAGTTCTTTGTAGTGGAGTCCTGTGCACTCTACACTACAACAAGCAAATGCATTCTCCATCCCAGGGGCAGAGGCCAGGCATCACGTGTGGGAAACCGCCTATTGTCTTCACCGCCAGAGAGGTGTGGACAAGGAGCCCGGAAGGCTGGTGACCTTTGAGCCCCTGCAAAGGTCAGAGCTGTGCACCCACTGAGACAATGGTAGCTGAAGCAACTTCCCCACCCGACAGTCATGTAATTCCTTACCGATAAGATGCTCTGTCACTGGAAATTGCCTGCCTACGGGCTACAGGTGTATCCCAAACTGAATAAAAGAATGCCAAGGCATGAGCCCAACGGCAGTCCTTCCTCTAGAGTTGGGCTCTCACCTGGTCCCCCCATATTTCCAAATTATCATTTCTTGTCTTGTCTCTCTCATTTGCGTGCAGCCCCTCTTCCAGAGCCTGAACCCTGAGCCATGCCAGATGTGGGCCATTCATAATCATGTGACCACAGGCGAGTCAGGAACATCTCCCGTTTCCTCACTGGTAAAATGGAGACAATGGTGTTCATCTGGAAGGGTTGTCATAAGAGTTAATGTAGAGAAAGCAAAGTCCTAACACAGAGCCTGCCACTCGGAAGGTCTTTACAGCTTCAGAAAAGGTACTGCTCAAAATGCCCACATCCTATATAATAAAAGCCTAATATGCTAAGTATCTGGCTGACTGGTCAGCCATTCAACCAATCAAAGTGTAATATGCTAATGATATGCTAAGGCTGCTCAACCACTCGCTATGATGTGCACTGACTACCAGGTGGCAGATGCTCCGACTGGTAGGTTAGCTTGCTGCTGGGGTCCGGACAATTAGGACTGAGCAAGATGGGCCAGACATGCCCTGGAGTCCTCCCTCAGTCCCTCCCTGGCCTGCCAATCTCCTACATCTCTTCCCTAGGCCCAACCGTGCACCAGTGGGGTCTCTCGGCCTGGCCTGCACCCTCTTGCAATCCGGGATCCCCTCAGGGGATGTCAGAGAGCTGGTTTCAGCCTGATCCCGCAGGCCAGGCCGAGAGACCAATGGTGCACAAATGTATGTACTGAGCCTCTAGTATCATATAGAAACCCTCTCTGCTCCTAGTTTCACATATCCCACACTCAATTTGCAATCTCAAATCTAAGGCTCTTCATACGTGCCAACGGAGCATTGTCTAAACTCTCTGGAAATGCCCATGGAGGCTTAGTGCCCAAAGACAGACCAGGCACAGGCGCTCTCCCCTTCCCCCATCACACCCCTCTCTCCTCGCCTGTCCCACCTCCGTTTGGAGCATATTCAGTCTCTCCCTCTGGCTTCCTCACTTCTCTCCTAAGCTGCAGAGTTCCATCTCTTTAATTTTCATCTGCTTGGCTGCTATCAACTCCCTTTCTCCACCGAAGCCTTTGAAACATCTGATTCTTGGGTAACTGGGCCTCCTCGTGTCCTCCCTTCATTGCACAGGAGGCACAACCCTGCACCCCTGAAACTGCCTCTTTCTGCGTAAGCCAGTCTCCCTGCTAGCAGCACCTCAGGCCTCTCATCCTGAGGTCTCTATGATGTAGTTTCCTCCTCCAAAAGCTTGGCTTTGTCCCCCCACCCCTCCCCCCCGGCCCGGCCCCTCTTCCTCCTTTCCCCAGGCTGCCCCTGACAGCCCAGGCCCGCCCCAACTGGACGCACGCCTCGCTGGCTCACACCTGCCACTCCCAGCCGCTCAACCGTTACCAGATGCTCAACTGTGCTTCTAGCTCCAGATCTCGGCCAGCCTCCAGCCCTATCCAGGCGGACCTTGGAGGGAGTGGGCTCGTGTCCACGCCACCGCACACAGCGAGCCCTGCAATCAGCGAGATGCAATCTTCCTGCGGGAGGAAGGCCTTGCCCCTCGTTTGTGAAAAACCCAACAGCTGTGAAGGGCGAATGAACAAGCACCGGTGCTGCCCACCCCCCTGGAAGGTGGTCCGTGACAGCCTCACTGCCACCGGCCTCAGGGCTCAGGCCCCCGCCAGGCAGACCTCACCTAACAGCCTGGGGGCTGGGAGAGGTTCCTCACCAGCAAACCTAGAAAACGTTATGCCACTCTTTCTCCTTTAAGTATTAAAAAAATGTCTCTTCTTTTGTCTTCATTCATCTGCTAACTCTCAACATTTAGAAAACATTTTGTAGCTGAAAAACAAGGTAAATCAGGCCTTGCCTGTCTCTAAAGAAACAGAAAGAAAAAGAACAGGACTGAGCTAGCTGCTTAAGTTAATTTCAAGGTTTTCAGCTTGATTAATCTGTTTTTATTTTTATTTTTTTAATTTCACTTTTAATGCAGTCACTAAAGCACATTTGAATTGTTTACACGGTTATTATTGAAGAAAAATCCTGAGGTCATTGATTTTGGTCCTGTTTCATAAAATAGCCACTTCTATGCTTCCCATTGGGTATCCTTCCCCCCCCCCCCCAACCCCCGCCTCTCTCTCACCTGCTGATCTGGAGGTGACTCACCCCTCACTGAAGATAATTTACTTTACTGATTTTGATGAAATTCAACAATTAAATCACCACTCGATTTCTCAAGCACTAAAATAATCTCAGAAACTTAAAAAAAATCATTTAAATGAAAAGTATTACCTCCCCAAGTGGAAAGTGTATTTGAGTTGTTACAAGTAAATATTAAAGTTATAACGAGCCACAAAATTATATTCTTGTGTAAGACAAATGAAATATTCCTGATTAACAAATCTAGTTTTATAGAAATCAATTCAAATTGTATGGAATAGGTACAGGTCTCTACCACGACATAAAAGTTTTACTTGGTTCTGAATTCACCAACTGCTAACCAGAGGTGGTGAGTTTGTATCTTACCGACTCCAGACGCAGACAGAGCGACTGCACTGCACCCCTGACATTCCGCCCAGCTCAACGCCCGCCCGGGCAGCGATTCCCCTTCAGCCTGTTTCTCTGTCACCAAAGCTGGGACCTCTCCTAGGTGGTTGGCCACCCAGAGGAATGATCCCTTTTCTGTCTGCAGTTCCCACAGCAGCCATGGGGGTGACTTAGGGACCACTGCACCTCACCTGCCTGAAGGTTCATGACTTCGGAAGGTTTGACAAATCCGCCTCCTGGCTATTATTCTTTGCTGCAGTGACAACTGTGCTCTAAGACAACAACGCATTCTTAGGGGAAAACAGTTAATTTCAGCCATTAGATGTGCTCCCCAGCAGCCCTGTGTTCACATGGGCGCACCCTCGGACAGCGGCTTACGCAAGAACACAAGGCGTGCCCCAGCACTGAGTGAGTGTGCTGTCTTTAACGGAACCCTCTCTATTGCATTGCTTCCTCGTGTGTGTGTGTGTGTGTGTGTGTGTGTGTGTGTGTGTGTGTTTAAGCTGGTGAAATCTTTCTAAGCAAAAAGATGATTAATTCTTCCCCTTGCCTTTAAAACCATGTTCTCATGACAACCTCTTAGCCAATCCCCTAATCTAACTTGGATAAAAACAACAACAACGATAACACACTTTTAAAGCAAGTTATTCCCGGGACTTGAGAGTTTCACAGCCCTGGACGAGGTCAGTTTTTAGGGACATCTGAACAAAACTCATCTGTTTCAGGGCACTCCGCTAGTGGATGCATAGATGGAAGCACTTCCAGCAGTACGCACTGTGAAATTTCTGTATGGCCCACAACTCACAATATGGATCTAATTAGGCCCAGCTGCCTTACGTTAGTAATAAAATTGGAGAGAGAGGAGAGGAGAGGAGAGAATAAAGGGTGAGAGTAGGGGCTTTGTTCATCCCCCCGCTGTGCCCGGTGATCACCAGCAGGTCGTGAACATCCTCAAGGCTCACTCAGGCAACACACGCCTCTTCACCACCCTGCAGCCCCGGCCCCGATCGCGCTGAAACTTTCCAGCCGCGGAGCTCGCCCCGGCCCTGGGAGAGACTCACGCACCGACCGGCCCTCCCCCCCTCGGACCCCACCCCGCCGCCCGCCCGGCCCCGGGACTCACACGAGCGCGGACGGGCAGGGCGCCTGGCTCCAGGGGCAGTTGTACTGAGCCTGGATGAAGCTCTCGCTGCCCTCCTGCACGGAGCAGGTCACGTTCCTGTTCACGATGTAGGCGCACCAGTTCCTGGGGCGGAGAGAGGGGAGGGCGGCTGTCAGCCCGGGGCCGGGGAGACGGACGGGCGGGCGGGCGGGCGGGCGGCAGATGGGGCCGGAGAGGGAGGTCGTGCCCCCCGCGGAGGCGGGAGCCCCGCCGAGCCGGCACTTTCCCCCGAGAGAGACGGGAGGGAAGCCCCGGGCCCTAGGATCCCCAGGGGGGCCCGGGAGGAGGGTTCGGGTCCCTCTGCTCGGCGGGAGCGGCCCGGGGGGGCTGCGCTCCTCCAGGCGCCGGCGAGGCCCCGGGACCCGGCGCGGACCACGGGGCCGGCAGGAGGCGCCCCCCGAGGGGACCCCAGTGCGGCGCATCTTTTCCGCAGGACGGTGTCGGGGTGAAGGCGGGGGCCCTGGGCGCTAGAAGTGGCCTCGCCGTCCTGGGGGCGCAGAGGGGGCCCCACACTTACTTGTTCCTGGCGCCGGGCCGCGCGGGGGGCCGGGGCTGCGGGCCGGCGTGGCACAGCCCCGCGCCGCCCAGGGCCAGCAGGGCCAGCGCCCAGCGCCAGGGCGCGCGGGGCCGGGGCCACATGGCGCGGGCGGCGGGGCCGGAGCGGGGCGCGGAGTGAGCGCGCTGCGGGGCGCGGCCGGGAGGGAAGCTGGAGGCTCGGGCCCTTGGCCGGCGCCCCCTCCGGCTCCGCGCACCACTTCTCCTTTCCCAGCCGCGGGCCGCGGTCCCTCAATGACGCACCGGTCCCCCCGGGTGCCGCCCTCCGTATTTCACTTCCCGCTCCGGAACGTGACTCTGCCTGCGCCACGACTCCCTGTCTCCAGCCCGCCGGCCTCGCGGCAGGGGGCTCGGGGTGAAAGGGCCAAAGGGCCGGGAGCAGGGTCTGCATTGCAGCATTTCCCATTACTCATATTCCTTTGGTCTCTGCCCAGGAGCCGCGCCCCCGCCTCCCACCTCCCCGCGGGCGCGCCCCGGGCCCCGGGGAGGCGGCCCCGCCGGCGCGGCGCAGCCCGCACGTCGAGGGGGAGCCCGGGTGCCGGCCTCCCGGGGAGAGCGGGGACGCCGTTATCAGCGCTTTATCGCAGGCGACTCGGATTTCCCCTGCTGGCCGGACGCGGCCGTCCCCCCACGTGTGGGTTTAGGAGCGCTTGGGGGCAGATGAGCGCGGATCCTCCTCTGTTTCTTCACCCAACGCGGCCCCATCATCCACCTAACGGTTTCCAAGCGGCCGCGCGGCGCCGCGGGGGACCGTCCGCCTCCCCGAGCTTCTCAGGCGCCTCGCACTGACCTTCCCTGGCCACCCGGGCTCCGCTGCCGCCGTCCTCCTCTGAACTTCGTTCTTCTGTCGACATGAAAGCCATTCACTCCACCACAGTCGATCTGCTTCTTCTTCTTTTTAATAATAAATCTTTATTGTTCAGATTATTACAGGTGTTCCTCTCTGCCCCCCCCCCAGCTCCCCTCCACCCGATTCCCAACCCCCTCCCCCCATGCCCTTGCCCCCGCCACTGTCTTCATCCACAGGTGTAAGATTTTTGTCCAATCTCTTCCCGCACCCCTCACCATGGCTTGTCACTTGCCTGCATGCATTCTTCCTATTCGGGAGCCACCCTCATCTTTACCAGTTTCTTTGGGGGATGAAGCAAACCCACTGAATAATGTGACATAAAATCCAGACCCGAGGGTGGTGTTCTTACATTGGAGTGTACCCGCTGCATCGAACGAACACTAGAGTGAGGTTATTGGCCTGGGGTAACTGTAATAACCACGATCTGTCATGACGCTGATGGCTGCAAGTTATGGGGACAACCATAAGGCTTTGCGGTGGTCCCTACGTCACGACATGAGGCCCTTGGCCCGTTTCATTTCTAATATGTTTTGAAGGGGGAAGCTGGCCTTTTGATTTGCAAATGAGAGAACGTTCCCTCGGTAGAAACTGTGTAAGATCCAAACAGAAATGACACCATGTAAGGACATGGTCTGCCTATGAACTCTCTAAGTGGCAGATCCTGCCAATAAGGGATTGAAGTCATCCCAGCCTTCAAAAGAGCCACCCCAAGGGGAAAAGAACGGAAAGGGACAAGAAGCCGCCTTGCATAACCGATCTCTGTCTTTCTGTGAGGCTGCACTGTCGTCCCCATCCTAACACGATGTCTGGTCACAGAGTGTCCTAGGGAGGAAATGAAGGAGAGGGACAGCAGAGGGGGAATGGAGGAAACACGCAGGTGTGTGTATATCTAAAATGAACGGCTAACAATCCCAGCTTCAATACAGATAATTCTCAAACTCGAGTGAAGTTGAACTGATCAAGTCAAATCTATTTTTTCCCCATTGAATCCAAGTTAGAGTAGGAAGTGATATTCTAGCTCCAGAATTTGAGGACCAACTTCTCATGGAGAGGACCACAAACTCCATTTAATCATCTATAAATCAGCAAATAAATTTTATTCTGCACATCTGCTCCCTGCTGGGCATTGTGCACAGACACCTGAGGATTGTCCCACCTGACGTGGCTCTGTGCTGACCGCGCCTCTGTGCGCTCCTGGGCACTGAAGGGTGTGGCGTTTCCGATGTGCAGTCATTACATGAGCTCACGGCTGTTACAGACAAGCCCTCGTGTCCCGGTGTGGGGCTGCTCTGGGAAATGGAAGAAGACTCTTGGCTCTCAGGCCAAGACCCCAAGAGATTCTTCCCTTCTTCTCCCCTCACCAGAGGAAGGGACAGTGCACATGGAGGAACCAGAGAGCACACACACCCCAGCTTCCTGAGGATGGAGAGCTGACGCGCCTTAGGAAACAGGCTGATGTGGACAGGTCATCTGGTCCCAGCCACAAGCAACAATGTGGACATAAATGGCAGAACGCTGGAAGTGTGGATTGCTCATAAGCTGCCCACAAGCCTTTGAAAAGGAAGTTTCCTATAACAATCTAAAGGAACTTCTGCTTTTAAATAAAAAGTGCCCCATAGTGACTTAAACTCTTAATTGTGTGACCAACTTACCTAAAGCAAAAACGCGAAGTAGAACTGCTCCATAACCCATTCCCTCACTGTTGGTCATGATGAAAGATGCTCCTCGGGCTGAACTTGGGGGTACCCTGTGTCCCCGAAAATAAGACAGTGTCTTATATTAATTTTTTCTCCCAAAGTTGCGCTAGGTCTTATTTTCAGGGGATGTCTTATCTTTCCATGCGCTAGGTCTTATTTTCGGAGGATGTCTTATTTTCGGGGAAACACGGTACTTCTGGAGGAGCAGTGAGCCTGCTGGGCCCTATCCCCTGGGCCCTATCCCCGGCTAACACCACTGCAAGTCATGATCCTCACTGAGACAGCAGATGGGATGTTTCCCCCATCACCACGCTCAGTCATCTGGGCACAAGACATTGGCTCAAGATGAACAGATTTTGCATCTCGGATGTGCTCAAGCCTTTAAGACTTGCCTGGGTGTCCCACCCTTCTCTCTCCTCATCTTTGCTTTGACATAGGAAATGCCCAAACCTGTGGGGAATTTTTATGAGTTTGACTCCAACTGCTGACAGCTGCTAGGAATCAAAATCTCAACGAGTTGAGAAAACGCTCTGGAGGAGGGCAGGCTTGCAGTCCATTTTATGCATTGCGATCAGAGGAGGAGGCGTAGGGAGGGTGACATGAAAGCCAGTGCCGGCAGATGAAGGCCGATGGAGAAAGCAGAGCGGGGAACCCTGGGCCTGGAGAAGTAAAATGGAGAGACACAGAAGACACACACTTCTTTCACATCGGTGGGTACAGGGTGGCTGACTGACATTCACAGCACACGGACATGGCTGTGCAGGGAAGCAATGCGGGGCTCTGTGGTCTGCTCCTGGGTGTGGTGGGTGATTTCTAGCCCCGTTTCTTCCTCCCGCTCCCCGTGAGAAAGCACGCAGCTCAGCTCACTGCTCAGGAGCATTAATACCACAAAAATAAATGCAGATCACTGGGCAATTCAACCATGAATATCTTCTTCCTTAAAAAGATGAAATTAGTTACTAATTCATATCCCTTAATTTTTCCCAGATGTTTCTTCATTCTAAGGCTGCTCCCTATAACTATAAGCCAAATATTACATTTGAGAATTTTTTTGTTGTCACACTTATATGATTCTGAACACTTTTTTTTTTCTTTATAAGGAATAACTGACAAAAATAGACTCTAAGAATGTTTCTTACCAAGAGAGCTATAATAGCTTAGGCAATAATTCTTCATCATGGCAAGCCCCTTCAAACTATGTTGTAGTTCATCATTTATTTTTGGAATGAGAGTTGATTGTTCTGGAATCAACAAACTGTTTTATACAGGTAGAATGAGTTTGATGATTTTGAGTTAATCAGCTTTAGCACAATCTTGGCCCATGCTCATGAGAATAATATTCATGAGCAAATTAACTCTCCCCAGTAGTTCAGGTTGTGCGGTTCCAAACAGCAGTCTCAGTATTTGAATCCAGCCAATCCCCATTATTTAGCATAGTGCATTCTATAAAGTTGCTGCAAACACTGAATTAGTGAATGCTATACATTGCTTCTAGGGGAAATACAGGGCAGTTCCTATAAACCTCTGGTCACAATAGTTTTGTTAACCAATCAATACATAATCCTGTTTTGTATGTGTTTCTTACTATATGTTGTTGGTTCATTAACATTGAACTCATGGCTAACACCACTGCAAGTCATACTTAACTAGCAAACGTATGTTCTCCATAAGGCACATCACAGCCTTCTTGTGCTTAGAAACTCCAGACAGCACTTCAGCACTGTGACGGAGGCCATTTTAAACAGCGAAATGACTCACAAAAAGCACGAATGCGAGAAGAATGCCTGTTGACAGCACGGGAGCTAAAAAGGAGGGCAGAGCCTCGCCTTGCTGGACGTCAGCTGGGAACGTGTACAGCGGGCAAATCAGGTTTCTCCCAGGGCCACTGAGGAGAATGAGCGTGCCGCAGTACGTGCTGCTTTTGGAGTTACAAGTAAACTTAGCGAGCCTATGAATAATGAGAATCAACTGCATTTCAACTGTATTTCCCACTGGAAACAACGGGAAAATGGTATATTTGGGAAGATAAGAAGTTCTTTTAAAAAAAAAACACATATATTTTACTGATTTTTTACAAAGAGGAAGGGATAGGGATAGAGACAGAAAATCAACTAGAGAGAAACATCGATCAGCTGCCTCTTGCACACCCCCTACTGGGGATGTGCCCACAACCAAGGTACATGCCCCAACCGGAATTGAACCCGGGACCCTTCAGTCCGTAGGCTGGTGCTCTATCCACTGAGCCAAACCGGTTTCAGCAATAAGAAGTTCTTGAGGTTTTGTGGCCACCCAAAGATTTGTTTTGTTGGGAGCATATTGAGGAAGTTTTGCCTATTGAACACTATACCAGGCGATATGGAAGCCAGAGAAAAACAGATTTAGCTTTTTATTATCTTAATTGACTGGGAAGCAAGGCACACGTGTTTGGAATGACTTCAGAACATGCACAAAGTTACATTTAGTAAGTAGAATAGATAGCATTGTCCATGGAGCAGACTGACAGCTGTGGAGGGTAGGGGAGAGGGGAGACTGGAGGAAAGAAGGCGAAGGGATTATCCAAAACTTATATGCAAAACCCAAAGACACAGACAACAGTGGTCAGAGGGAAGGGAGGATAGGAGTGTGGGGAGGTGGGCAAAGAAAGGGGAAATGGGGGCATCTGTAACAGTGTAAACAATAAAAATAAAGCACAAAAATAAAGAATATAGCATTGTGAAAACAGCTTACCCCAGTAATGATGGAGAGAGAGACATTG